AATCATTTTTTAAACTACTAGTTCATCCTATTAAGTATCCTAGTTCCTTTCTTTTCTTCTAACTTTATTGAGGCTTAGCTAATGTTTCCAATTTTTTCTATATTTAAGTATCTGGTTTGTTTCTCAATTGCTTTTATTATTACTGCTGTTTTCACTCCTCTGAGTGGTACTGGAGATGGTAACCTGAGAGAAGGCTGCCCATTAAGAAGACTCCCATAAAGGAAAAAAAACAAAAACCAAAAGCTGAGATATACATGCAGAAACACAAGAATTATGAAAAAGCAAGGCAAGATGACTCCCCCTAAAGCTCATAACTCCTCAATAACCAAATATGAAAATACTGAAATGGATGTAAATGCCAAATAATTCAAGTCTAGTTGTGAAAATGCTCAATGATCTCAAAGATGATTCAAAGGAACAGCTGAAGGAAGTCAATTCAAGACCTGAATGACAAAATCAGCAACAGGAATGAGAAATTCTAAGGCAATTAAGATTTTGAAAAACAAACAATAAAAAACCCCACCAAAGTTGGAAAGGAAAAACAGTAAATTAAATTAAAACGCAGTTGAAAGCATCACAGTAGACTAAATCAAGCAGAAGAAAAAATATCAGGAACTAAACACAAAGTCAAGGAAATTTTATATTTAGACAGCAATAAAGAAAAAGATAAAATAAATGAGCATGGCCACAACTTTCAAGAACTCTGGAACATAAGTGAGAGACCAAACCCAAGAATCCATGAGGTAGAAGAAACTAAGATACACACTAAAGGCAGAGCAAACCTATTGAATAAAAAAAATAGAAAAAAAAAATCCCCAAATCTAGGGAAAGATAAGGACATCCAAGCATAGGAAGCATTTAGAAACCCAAATACACATGACCAGAAAAGAACCTCTTCACGTCACATTACAGTTACAATGCCAAGACTACAGAACAAAGAAAGACTATTGAAAGCCGCAAGAGAAAAACCCCAACTTACAAAGGCAAACTCATCAAAATTACATCAGACCACTCAACAGAAACCTAAAAGCCAGGAAACTATGGAATGATATATTTCAAGCCTTGAGAGTAAATCGTGGCCAAACAAGATTACTAGATTCAGCAAAGTTAACCTTTAAAATCAATAGAGAAATAAAGACCTTCCAAGATAAGCACAAACTAAAGCAATTCATGACTACTAAGCCAGACTTGCAGAAGATATTTAAAAGGAATCCTACACACAGATGAGGAAGAAAGTTATAACATGAGAGCTCAGCAAAGAATAAATTTCATGACAGAAATAGATGAGAAAATGAGAATTACGAAAATAATCAAACACGTTCAACTCAGTAAACCAGCAAATTCCTAAGGTAAATAAGGGAGAAAGAACAGATTGTACTCAAATCAATCAAAAAAAAAAAAAACTCAACAAAATTACAGGAATCAGCAAATACCTCTCAATAATAACCCTAAGTGTAAATAGTCTTAACTATCCAATTAGAAAATGCACACTAGCTAAGTGGATTAAAACAACAACAAAAAACTCCACCAAGATACAACTGTTTCTTGTTTGCAAGAAACATGCTGTACTGACAAAGACACACACACACTGAAAGTGAAAAGGAAGGAAAACAATATATCAACCAAGTGGAAGGTGAAAGCAAGCAGGAGTAGCTATGCTCATCTGACAACATATACTTCAAGCCAAAATTAGTCAGAAGGGATAAAGAAGGTCACTGCATATTAGTAGAGGGAACAATCCATCAAAAAGATATGATTGTAAATATATATGCAGCAAATGCTGGAACATTCAATTTCATTAAACAAACAATACTAGACATAAAGGGACAGATAGGTCCAGATAAAATAATAGTGGGTGACTTCAATACCTCACTGTCATGAACAGGTAGATCATCTAGACCCCACCCCCCCAAAAAAAATAACAAAGAAATTTCAGAGTTAAAATGTACCATAGGTCAAATGGACATAACACAATATTCTCTTCAAGAGCAGTCCATGTAACTTTCTTCAAAGTGGATCACATTCTAGTTCATAAAGCAAATCTTAACAAATTTTAAAAAACTGAAATAATTTCTTGCATTTTTAACAGATCACATACAATTAGAAGTCAATAAGAGAAACCACAGAACTATACAAACACATGGAGGTTGAAGTATACATTTCTGAATGATCAGTGGGTCACTGAAGAAATCAGGGAGGAAATGAAAAAATTCCTAGAATCAAATGAAAATGAAAACATAACTTGCCAGAACCTTTTGGATCCATACAGCAAAGGAAGCTGTAAGAGACAGTTGATACCTATGAGTGCCTACATTAAAAGAAAACCACAGGCCTGGTGGAGTGGCTCAAGTGATAGAATACTTGCCTTAGTAAGTATGAGGTCCTGAGTTCAAACTCTGTACTGCAAAAAAAAAAAAAAAAAAAAAAGAAAGCAAAGAAAAAAAATTGCACCCTGAGCTCTTAGGGACAAAAAAGGACCTAGCCAAACACTAAATTAATGTACAGAAAGAAATAACAAAGATCAGGGAAGAAATTAATGAAATGGAGACTAAAAGCACAATAAAAAGAACCAATTAACGAGTTGGTTTTTTGAAGAACCAGTCTTTCTCAAGATTGACAAGCCATTAGCCAAAACTAACCAAAAGAAAGACACAAAAGAGGGATATTATAACAGATACCAATGAAATCAGAATATCATTAGAGATTATTATAAAACTCATATTCCAATAAACTAGAAAATCTAGAAAAATGGAATGAATTTCTAGATATACATGAGCTACCAAAACTGAACCAAGATGATATAACCACTTAAACAGTTTCGTAATAAGTAATAAGATTGAAGCAGTTGCTGTCTCCCAAGAAAGAAAAGTGCAGGACTGGATGGAGTCACTGCTGAATTCTACTAGACCTTTTAAGAGGTAATGCCAATGCTCCTTGAGAAGGAAGACTACCAAACTCATTTTACCTTAACACCAAAAGTGGATAAGGATATGCAAAAAACAAACAAACGAAAAGCTATAGACCAAGTTCCTTGGTAAACACAGATGCAACAAATTTTTATAAAATACTAACAATCTGAATTCAACAATATATTAAAAAGATCATACACCATGATCAAGTTGGTTTTCTTCTAGGGATGTAAGGATGGTTCAACATATACAAATCAATAAATGTAATACAGCACATAAACAGAATCAGGGACAAAAATCACATGATCATCTCAACAGATGCCATACACCACAAACCTGTAGCCAACATTATGCCAAATCGGGAAAAACTGAAAGCATTTCTTTAAAAATCAGGGACAAGTGTGCCCACTCTTATTTAATATATATTTGAATTATCAGCCACAGTAATAAGGTAAGACAGAAATAAAAAAGGAGACAAAAATAGGAAAGGAAGAAGTCAAATTATCCCTATTTTCAGATAATAATGAACATGCTGAGAAAGAAATTAGGAAAACAATCTCATTCACCATAGCCTAAATAACCTAGGAATAAACCTAACCAAGGAGTTGAAAGACCTCCACAATGAAAACTATAAAACACTGAAGAAAGAAACTGAAGAAGGAATCAGAAGATGGAAAGACCTTCTATGTTCATGGATCAGAAGAATTAATGTGGTATAAAATGGTCATAGTACCAAAAGTGACCTGTAGAGTCAATGCAATCTCCATCATTTTAAATCCCCAAAATTCCAATGATATTCTTTACAGAAATAGAAAAAATAATCTTAATATTCATATGGAGGCACAAAGACCTCAAATAGCCAAAGCAATTTTGAGTAAAAAGAGGAATGTTGTAGATACCACAATACCTGATTTCAAATTATATTAGAGCCATATTAGCCGAAATAGCATGGCACTGGCACAAAAACAGAAAGGTAGACCAATGGAATAGAGGACCCAAAACCAAACACACAGCTACAGCTATCTGATTCTCAACAAAGGCTCCAAAAATGTATGTTGGAGAACAGGGAAACATATGTTAGGAAAACTGGATAATCATGTTGTAGTTGAAACTAGATCTCTGTCTCTTACCTTGTATAAAAATCAAATCAAAATCGATAAAAGACCAAAATAAAAGTAAGACCTGAAATTTGAGAACACTAGAGGAAAATCTAGGGAAAACATTTCAAAATATAGGCACAGACAATGGTTTTCTTAATAGAAATAAGAGCAAGAATGGACAAATGGGATTGTATCCAATTAAAAAGCTTCTGCATATCAAGGAAACAATTACCAGAGAGAAGAGACAGCCTACAGAACGGAAGAAAACTTCTGAGAAGGCATAAATATCTAGAATATACAAAGAACTAAAAAAAAATTAAACTCCAAGGCTGGTGGAGTGGCTTAAATGGTAGAGAACCTGCCTAACAAGCAGGAGACACTGAGTTCACAGCCCAGTACTACCAAAAACAAAAAAAAAAAAAAAAAAAAAAAAAACTCCAAAAGAACAGGAAATCTCAAGGAAAAAAAAAAAAAAGAACAGGTAATCTAATCAATAAATGAGTAAATGAACTAGACAGTTCTCAAAAGTACAAATGGCCAATAAATACATGAAATGTTTAATAACTTTAATTAAGGAAATGCAAATCAAACCTACACTGAGATTCCATCTTGCCTCAGTCACAATGGCTATCATCCAGAATGCCAATGACAAATAATGAAGGTGAGAATGTGGCTAGGGAAAAGGAACCCTTATACACTGTTGGTAGGAATGTAAATTAGTGCAGCTACTATGGATATCAGTATGGAAATCAGTGCAGCTACCATGGATATCAATTTTTGTCATATTGATAGAACTACCAAATGATCCTGCTACACTGCTCCTGAGTATATACCTAAAGGAATCAAAGTCAGCAGATAACGGAGAGACCTGCACATCCATGTTTATTGCAGCACTATTCACAATGCAATCAGCATAGGTGCCTATCAAAACATGGGCAGGGCTCAGGGTGTAGCTCAAGTGGTGGGTGCCTGCTTAGCAAGCATGAGACACTCAGTTCAAATACCAGTATTGCAATAAAATAAAGTCATAATGAAACCCATTATTTTGTGTGACTAATACATGCTAATTTAAAAAGTTATGCGAAGAACTTCTTCAGTAGAAGACTGTGGTAGAGTTTAGAGTCCACTCCTAGCGTGTTCCTGGATTGGCAATGTAGCCTTGGCCAAAGCCCTTTAGCCCAAGGCCCTTTAGGTCATAATTTCAGAACTCAAATTAGAAAAACAAGTTTCTCAGCCCTAAAAATCCATGATGTTTTTATTTTTCCTAGTTTTTTTGTAGGTTATGTATCCTTTCTAGAAAAAGGATCCTGTATTTTTAATATTTGCACTTAACCATTTTAATAAAAGTTCTGTTTCATGGGGAAAAAACCCAAAACTTGTTTTGGTTAACTATTTCTATTCATATTTTCTTACCTCAAATAAGTTAAAATTCCTTCATATCCTACAGAGTACCTGAGAAATACAGGCTCTTCTCACTACATTTTTTTTTTTTTCTTCTTGCAGTGCTGGGGATCAAATCCATGGCCTCTTGCATACTAGGCAAGTGCCCTACTACTGAGCTACATCCCCAGCCCTATGTGCTGACTTGGTACGTTTAACTGTCTGAGAGCTTTTGTTACCAAGTCCTTAGAAGTTGTCTCACTGTTGCCCTCACATGCTAACTGAAGTGTTGAAAGGCCCTTTACATAGCACTCCAGAGCTTGTCCACAGAACATTTTAGAACCAACATAGAATTCAAAAACAGTTTTATAATTTCTGATTTTTCTTTTACTTAGAAAATCTCCATAATCCACAAAATTCTGAATTGATCTTCAAGAGTTGAAAAGTGAATAGCAGTTACCAAAAACAGGGTATTTGTGCAATTAGTCTCCTTTGTCAAAGCTCTATGTTCAGTCCACCATAGTACAGTACTCCAACCAAGTCATGAATATTCTTACAAAATCAAGTCATTCCAGTTTGTACCATCAGATTCAGAAATTTAAAAATCGTTTTCTCTGTTTATAATTAAAAATTCTGAGACAATATCTTAGCATTTTAGTATTTTGGTATTAATCTTATTACTTAGTATTTTAGTATTAATCAGTATCTATTGATTCAGAAGTTGAAAAGTATGTTTCATTAATTGTATATACTTGAATTATTAAAAAAAATTTGAGGTGCTAAAGGTCTGGCTCAGTGGTAGGTGTGTTTATCTTGTATAAAGTCTTGGGTTCAATCCTCAGCACCCATCCCCGCCCAAAACAGAATACAATAAAATCCTCGGTATCTTGCCAACATGCAGTGAGATAAAATTATCAAAAGCTTAATAATTAGTGACTGTAAAATTTCATAAACGTCCAAGAATTTCAAAATCTCTTAGTTTTATTGTCCTCAAAAACTCAGGAAGACACTAAACAAAAGGGTTATTTACTTGTCATTTTAGTCAGACATTTTTTGAACTGTTATTCTCTGAAGACATCCTGATTACTTTCTCTGGAAAAAAACAGATATATATGTTCTCAAAAACAAGGTGAAATCTAAACTAATTCAATATCTGTAGAAATTTTAAATAGCTCCAAGTCTACAACAGGAAAAGGTAAACACATCAGCTTTAATACAACATAAAAATTAGTAATAAAAATTAAGACAGCTAAGCAAGCTTAATGTAAACAGCCAAACTGATTAAAGTATGCTCACTAAAAGTCCTGTCACCAGCAATTCATGTAATTTAGTGTAAGCCAGACTATAAATACATAATAATATGCCCTTTCTTATCACAGATAGTCTGCTGTATATCAAACTTGTGGCTAACCTTTTATATACAACACAAGAAAAACTGAAATTATAAATTATCAGGAACAGGAGCAAGGATACAGGATAATAACACATTTTATATAAATTACAAAGGACAGGAACAATAAAAATCCATTACTTTCTTCTTTAACTCAGTTTTGCAAAGTAAAGTCAACATGTATTATTTTTGCAAACTGCTAAAAACACACAACATGGTGGCCCTTTCAAAAGACTGCAGTCAAGATGAGATGTTATCTTGACATACTACAGTTCTTAGTTCTTAACTGGAGTTGAGCTTCCTTTCATTGTCTTCTTTAGGTGGTGGTAATTTGGCAAGATTTTCATTAAGAAATCAAGCTGTAGTGTCTGGGGCTGAAAAGACAAGATAATTAAGCCTGGCAGAAAGTGAAGTCAAGAATACCAGATAGAAATGAGTGTCATTAGGTCATAGAATTACAGATGATTTTCATTGACTTTATTTTTGCTCACCCTGCTTGCTTTTTTAACATTTATAATGAAAACTCATTAAGTCTGGCAATAAGGAAAAGCCAAACAATTTTATAAATAAAAACACACAGAAATAGGTTTTCAAACTTTCATCTGTAGATTTAGGCTTGGCTTCTAAAAAGTAAAAACAGAGTGCCAAATACAGAAAGTCACCTATATGGAATACTCAGAGGGACACTGCTGTCCACATGCCCTACAGAGCTGCATGCTCAAAAAACCCTCATCTGGTCTCTACTCTACGTGCCAGCATCGCCCAAACTTTCTGACCATAAACTCACTTGTGGTACTTGTGAAAAATACAGATTTTTAGGTCCCTGTCCTAGACACTGTGATTCAAGTCTGGGGAACCTGTTTTAAATGAAGATCTCTTTCAGTGGACTCTGAAACATAATGTTGCTTACATACCCACTAAAAAGTAAACCAGATATTCTTGCTCATTTAATTCTAAACTCCTTTCCCCAACGCCAGCTTTATTTCTCCCTCTTCAACCATTTTTGCTGTTATGCAGAAAGATAGTAAAAAAAGAAAATACTCGAGTTTCCCTTTTAGAGTCTATCGAAGTAATGCTTGATGATAATAATATTAATGCCAAACATTACAAAAACAATTACCCAGAAGGAATTGGAGTTTTAATTTCAGACAAAACATGGCCAAGAATCAAAGACAAAGTGGTAAATGTGTCGAAAGTATTTCGTTTGGGAGAGGGAAAGGAGGCTAAGGAAGTATCTGTTGAATGTGCAGAGCAATGAGGCTGAAAACTTCAGTCTAATTGTCTTATCTTTTTCATCTCCTACTCCAACACTGAATTCCAAATGTGTACTCTTTATTATTCTTGATTCAGGTTATTAGGAAGGGATAATTTCTGTAAGCCAAGAAAATATCCAAACACACTTGCTGATTTATAAGTTGTGTTTATCATCAAACTGTGTTATATTAGTAAACTAATAAGCAGACCCAAGTTAGAGGCCAAGTAAAAATTTGGTAGGGTCATTCCTTAGCCTTGAAGATTGATATTTTAGGAGTGAATAGTATGATTTGTAACTCATGGTAATAGCCAGGAACAGGAACAGGAACTCTGGATTTTCTTTTCTAAAGACTCAATGAATGAACTACAAATAAATCCAAGTTTTAGAAATGTTCTTCTGATATTTTAATTTATTCATTTGCCTTTTTTTTTTTCTGATACAGAGGATAAAACCCCAGGGCCTCATACATGCTAAGCTACCTCCCTCACCCCTAATCATTTGCTTTTTAAATAGTGAACTCGATCCCTACTAAGACAATTAGATGGTATTTTGGGACAGTTAGCAGCCAGCCTTAGTCAGAACTTTTTTAAAGAGAGGTTCTAGTACCTGTGGTCTTTCAGTCTGCACCCGACGAAGGCAGTCTGCACCATAGATCACTGTATTCTCAGGGATGACTTCAAAAGTATTTAGGTTGCAACAAGCCCCAATAATGCAACCACTCGTCAGTATTACATTCCTGCCTACATATGCTGCAGTGAAAACAGAAATAATTGTAACTTAAGACAGCACATAATTATAACACTTTTTATTTTTATAATACTTTTTTCCCTGTGGTTTAGGTAGAAAAACACAAATGAGCCTTAAAAAAAAAGTTAAAAGAAAATGCTTCAGTTCTGAGTTTGTGTAGGTAGTACAGAGGAAGCAATGCACTGTCAGCTGAAGTCAAAACAGAGCACCCTGCTAATTTGTTGTGTGGCCTTGGGCAAGTCACTGTAAAGGTTCTGAGCTAGAGTTTATCTATAAAATGGATACCCTACTTGACAACTTACATTAAGGATGAATGAGGTAATGAATGTGAAGCACTGAGCACAGGTGTGATACACAGTAAACACACAATAAATGGAAAATGCCAATGATGATAACAGTAATAACTGGTAATTCAAAGTAAAATAAAAATCATTAAGTAGATTAACAAAAAGCATAATTTTGTTATTTAAAAAACAACAACAAAAAGCATGTTCTTTTAGGCCAATCAGGACCAATACAGACAAACCAGTATTCTGAAGACATGTCATCTTCAGGTTCTTTTGTACAAGCTCATGGAGCTGGTTCACAGTAGTGCTGGTAACCTGATATAATGCCCTGCCTGGCCTCAGTTTTGGTAAGCAGATGATATTTGGATATTTGTTTCTGATTGGTTAAGGTAAAGTAGTCTTGAAATTAAAGAAAGCAAATACTGGAGAAACTGTAATTTAAAAAAAAAAATTATAGTAGTACTATCAACTAAAATGTCACTGATAGTAGTAGTTAGCAGAAAAATCTTTTTCAAACCTTACAATGGAACTTTACAGTTAATCCAACCCCAACTTAATTATTCACAGCTAAATTTTTAATTTAATGTATTTAACCACATTCTCAGATAACCACATAACTAGATTAGAATCTTTTGAGGCAAACAATTAGTCTGAGAAAGATTTTAGTCCACTTAGAAGCATAGTTTGTACTTAGGCTGTTTCCTAGGAGACAACAAAGAAAAAGAAGGTAATCACTTTGATGAGAAAACTCTGAATACAGCTTACCTTTTGATTCAATGACATTGTTATCTCCCATTTTCATGGCTTGGGAATCTGTAAGCCAGACTTAAGTAAATACTGTAAATATGACCACCCTATTTTCCCCAGAATACAATATTGTCCTTACACTGTACCAGGGCACGGAAGCACGGGAAGGGGTATGCAGTCTCATCTCTGTCAGAATTGTTTGTTCAGGGTAATTTGTAGTAAACTTTTTAATCCTTAAACATAAATATATCTAGCTATAAACAAATGACTCCTATGCTTTTTTAAAGAAATGGTATCTTATTCCCTGATTTTTTGAGTGTATTTTTACAAGTTCTTTTTTTTTTTTATTCATATGTTCATACATTGTTTGGGTCATTTCTCCCGCCTGCCCTCGCCCCCTCCGTCTTTCTCCCACCCCCCTTTTACAAGGTCTTAAAATCAAAATTATCATTCCCAATCACTTAAACATTGTTAACATTACATATGTTTTGTTGATCCTGTGAAAAGGTTTTAGTATCTTATTTAATTAAATTAATTAATTTTCTTTTTTTTATTATATTCATATGTGCTTAATATCTTTTCAGAGTACAAAACTGAGCAAAAGAACTGGTAAAACCATGGGAGTCAAAATAAAACAAAGCACAAAGAATGAATTATTTCCATCCCTGTTCATAATTTTCATGAATGAGAAAATGATCCAGGAGTCAAACTAAGGAAGGCATGGTTCTTAAATCAGGACAGAAGCCAGAATTATAGATTCTGTCTCTTGCTGCCACTGCTACCTGTGAACAGCTGTAGTTCCAGCTAAAGGATTTTCAAAATGCTGAGCTAAAGCTGTGTGTGTGTGTGTTAGAAAATGGCATACAGTAGATGTTTTATTCTGTTGAGTTTTAACAGAACAAGAAGGATTTTCTTTTTCTTTTTTGTGGTGTTGGGGACCAAATATGCTAAGCATGTGCTCTACCACTAAGCTACAGCCTCAGCCCCAGAAAGGACGTTTTTAATACTTCAAATAAGTCTACTCAGAGTTCTAAGGCCTTGTATTAACAATGTAATCATGATATATATATTATAATTAGTTTGACTTTTTGTCTATGTGACCAACATAAACAATTTAAGGGAGGAAACACTTATTTCTGGCTCACTTTCAGAGGTCTCGGCACATGGTTGCTTGGGTGGAAGATCATGGCAGTAAAGCATGTGGAGAAGGAGCTTCTGCACTAGCAATACAGGGACTAGGGTAAGGTATAACTTCAAAGACACGTTCCCAGTGACCTATTTCCTCCAGCTAGGCCCCCACCTCCTCAAGTTTCCAGAATCTCCCAAAATAGTGCCACCAGCTGGGGACCAAACATTGAACACATGGACTTTTTCTGGAGGAAACTGCATATTGAAACCATAACATAGCATAAATATATTTGATAGACAAATTATGACAATTTCTATGGGGGGTGAGATTTAGGTGCCAAAGGACACCTGGCAATTAGCTAGGGTAGATTACTGTAAAGGATACAACAGCCAACTTCAAACACATTATTGGTGCCAATGATCATAGGTTTGGGATCTGGATCTTCAGTGTCAGGGGTGATATTATCCGGGTAACTACAGAGAGACAAATTATCAAAAGCCAGTAACACAATAAGCAATTATCTCCCGATTTTAGAATTTGGGTTAATTTTCTTACTTTTACCTGCATCAAGCTTAAAATACGTAACTATATCACTTATTTCTCCATTCAAGTGAATCATTTCTCCTCCATGCTGGAGAAAGCTAGATTCAGAAATGAACAGAACTACTGAACACGATGCAGAGGGCCTTCTCTAGCACAAGGTAAGAAAAAGATGCTGACTATACTTTTAGCCTGTTAAATTAGAACCAAAATCTGTCTAACTTGAAAGTTTTCCATCCTTAATAACCATTCAAGATTGTGAAATGCAAACAGATAACTCACATAAAATAATCATTTTACAGTATTAGGTAGTTAGCTGAAACATGTGGAAGATAACACGTTTGTGCTCCAAGAGGAAAAAAGTGTTTTATCTCTGACAGTTGAGTTGCTGCAGAATATTGCTGTTGTTAATTGACTTATAGTGAAGGTGCCAAATGTCTTTTTAAAGAGAAACTGCTTAATATAGTAAGAAACTCCCAAATCATAAGCAAGCATTCAGACACATCAGTCTTTTTATCACAGTCAAATATTTTCCTAAGTCTTTATACAAATTCCACATATTGTTGACATAAATTAGGTGTAAGTTTGACTTTCTTGCCAAAGTTTTATCTTGAAAGACTTACAAATGCTTATGAAAATTTCATGGCTATTACATTCTAGTTCACAAAGATCACATACGTGGTCTAATATTTTATTATCTTTTTATCTTTAAAGTTTAAAACTTACTTCTAGGACCTCAAATTTTTCAACTATAATTCTGGGTATTGCCTATGTAGAACATGTGAAAACATATTAAGAGTTAAGCTCCCATGTTTGGGCCTAAATAGTAACATTTCAACCAGAACTAAGAAATTCAACCAAAAAACTCTTTGGGGTGGTTGGCTAAGCACTTTGAGACTGGAAGTGCTTGTGTGCTGAAGGGATGGATGAGAAAGTGGTACATAAGTGGAAGATTATCAGACACAGAGCTATAGATTCCGGTCAGCAACCAATGAACTCCCACCTTGGACAAGTCATTCCACCCTTTGGTTTTTGGGTTCCTCATGCATGTACACATGAATAAATGAATTTAAAAAATCCTTAATGTTTCTCTAGCTCTAAAATAGTAGACCTTCCACATGTCAGTTGTAAAAGCTGACAGCTGAAACTGATGAGAACATTACCTGCGGTGCTTAGTTCAAAGTATCTGTAAGAGTCTTACTCACGCATTTATGATAAGGGCCTGCTCTTCTATTAGGTTACCTTCACCAATAATTATTGGTCCAGCCTCTGCAATAATTCGTGCTTTCGGGTGGATCACCGTCCTAGGTCCTGTTAAAAAATCATATGAGAAGAAATGAGTGGTGGAGGCTATTTTTCCAACAGGAGGCTGGGAGGTGACCAAGGTGGACGAGGCTATTGGGAGGAACATCTTCCAAGTATGTGCCAGGCACCAGGCTAGCTACATAGTTTACAAATGCTATCTTGCTGGCTGTTATCATCCGTAGTTCGTGCCAAACCTGGAGCCAAGATAAATGAAAAGGCACAGGCAGTAGAGCCAGACAGCTTACTCTCCATCTCAAGCAGGAACACCACAGGTAATGAAAGTACCAGACTTACATGGCTGTGGAAAGGATTAGATGAGATGATACTGGAGACAGACTATGTGGCACATAGTTGGCAATAAAAATTAATTCCCAAAAGAAGTATACCCAGAAAACCTGGCATACAAAGCTTATAGAAAAAATTCCCTTCTTTCTTTTTTCTCAGAAAGGCAAGGTGCTCTGCTTACAATGTGGTGCTTCCTTATGCTACTATTCCACAAGAGTCATCTTTTTACTACACAAGTAAGAGGAAATATGAGTGAACAGAAGTCAGAAAATGTGGGATACAATCTTAGCTTTGCTCCTTCTTCACTATCTGAGTATAAGCACACCTATTGCAAGGAGGCGAGCTTCTGTTGTTTGGCAGTCCAGGACGTGATGTTGACCAAAGTAGAAAAGGTAAAAGGGAGGCAGAAGGAGCCAAAGGTGAACACTGGGCTCCTCAGACACTGGTGTTTGGAAACATGAGGAGCAGGATGGTGGAGGCTCTGTACTGCTGAAGCAGAGACCCTGATTCTGGAGTACTAGCACACCTGCTCCCTGGCTTATTCTGCCCACAGGCCTAATGTTTTGGTGGGAGTGAAGTTTGAGAAAACACATCCTCTTAGCCTGGTATTAAGGCAATTTCTGTTTTCTTTTTTGCTGTTGTTGTTGGTTTTGTTTAGTTTTGTTTTTGATACTGGATAGACCAGGTCACCTCAAACTTGCAGTCCTCTTGTCTCAGCCTCCCTAGTGCTGGGATTAGCTAAGGTCGTATCTATTGGTAAGTAGTAACAAGCAGTAGCTGACTCTGAAAGTAAAGAAGGGTAGACAGAAGGATCAACAGAAGATGGGGAGGTGTTGGGAAGGTGACATTATCTATGAAATTCAGTATTCTTTTCTATAAATTGTTAATGCATTAAAAAATTAATCTGCTTGTGACAGGCAAAATGCAGCATTTCATGTCATGAATACATGCTAGGTTGGGGGGTGTAGCTCAGTGGTAGAGTATGTGCTTAGCATGTATAAGGGTCTGGGTTTGATCCCCCAGCACAAAAAGAAAGAAAGAAAAGAAACGAAAGAAAGAAAAACAAACATCTGCTATTTTTGCTTCTTTGAGCTTGTTATCTTAAAAACTGGGAATGGTTAACACTCATTAGCAAACATACTAAAATAAATAAGGTGTTCCTGGTGTCCAGAGAACTAGAGGAATTTCAGTGTAATTTATTCTTTTTCCTGACAACGAAGAGCTGGAGGGGATTGATAAGGTGGGTGGGGGGTCCCAAACAGAATGCACAGTTCAAAACCACAGTCTGCTAAGAAATAGCATGACAGTGGCCTTGAGATTTCTCGGCCACCTCTGGCTCCTTGAATCTTCATCTGCTAACATACAATTTCCAGGTAAATTTTCCTGTTCAGCATAGAAAATGGGTTAGCTGAGCTCCCTGGGAAACTTCTCAGTTTGAGAAGTTTCAAAACTACTGTTATTACTATTTTTAACATTAGTAAGTTATTCCATAGGTAAATGGCAAAGTCCTGATTACGAATCACAGCACAGTAGCAGTTTAGGTGAAACCTGTGATGTAGACACCACCTCCACCTGCTGGCAGCATTGCCAAACTACAAGCCCTGGTGTTCCTGGCTGAAAAAACTTGAAGAGGTGAAGCTGTGGATTTTGAGTGGTGAGGTGACAGCAAATAATTGGTGACGGGCAGAACTAACTTGAACAGTTCCCCCCTAGACCTCCTGTAGGTCTTTCTGGGGGCAGACTAGAGAGGTTCGTATACGCGTACTTCCTTACTCGTGAGGGCCGTTGTGACTTCAGTGAATGATGAGGACAGCTCAGCTTTGTTTCAGCATGGTTTTGTGCTAGAAGCTGGGCAGCAGACAGCTTGGCAGTTCAAGTGCTATTATTAGTGACAACATACTGAAATGTTGGCTCAGTCTGTTCCTGCGTGCCACGAGCACTTTTATCTAGAATGGGTCTGATTCAAACCAAGTTTAAGGGTCTTAAGGTTAAAATGCTTTAAAAATAAAAATCTGTCACCATGGAAAGCTGTGGTTTTTTTTTTCTTTTTTCTTTCTTCTTTCCCTTCTTTAAACTGTGTTGTGAACCTTCTTGGAACTGTTTCTGGTAGGGCAGTTGGTGTGTTTTCTTACCGAATGTGCTGAAACCCTATTTGGCTTATCTCCTTGTTTGGATAAATGTGTCTAGAGCTGGAGCTGCCTTCACTGGCAGATGAATTATTTTTCTAAATGGTTGGCTGGGTTTGAGGCAACACAGCCAGAAAGACATTCCTTGCATGACATTTTCATTTCCCTCATTTGGTAAAGGACACTTTTCCTGTCTACCTTTGCCACAAAAAGCAATCTCTGGGTACATTTTCATGTATAAATAAGTAATTCAAAAAGCCCCAGGTTCTCTATTTTGAAAATTAACCGGTTCCCTTGACCTGTAAACTGAAATACCTGTATGACTGCTTTATAGGCAACATTTCTCAAGTCAAAGGCACTGTTCTGCCTTGCTGAAAAAGACTGTCACAATAAAAGGGAGGCTTTCAATATGTAGCAAAACTCCACAGAGGAGAAAGAATTAAGTAGGACAAAATGCTTCCGGTATAAAGCTTTTCCACTGTGCAGAGCTCTGCCTTTACATCTTGATGTCCCAACTAAGCTATGGCCTAATTCCAGGAGTCTGACCCTCACCCTCTAATGGACTGACTACAGGACTGTGCTTGGGGTTACCTTCCTGAAATGTTCTTCAGCTCTCAAAATGAATTTATAGGAAATAATTCATGGCTTATAAATCACGACAGTCTAATTAAAAACCAGCTTGATGCAATGAAACATTAGTTACCCAAATCATAATTAACAAAGAGAGCTGTTAGTTTGGAGCAGCCTCTGGTGAGAGGGATAGGCTCCAACTGAACTACAAGTCAGAGGGCTAGGACAAGGACTAGACTTCCCAGCTTCTGAGGCAAATACCTGATTGTCCAGGAAGGCAATGGATTGTGTTTAAAGTTCTCTTAACCTGAAACATAGCAAAGGAAAAAATTACTTTCTTCCTGAAATATTTCAGAAAGGAATAATTTGTTCAACAAATGCATTACTGAACTCAGGGCTTCACATTTACCAGGCATTTGCTCTACCTCTTAAGCTACTCTACCAGCACAAGAATGGAGTCATTTGTAAAAGTACAAATGACTAGAGAAGAGAAAGTTATATGAAGCATCCCGAAAAATCTATCAATCAAAAAACTACCTCTGAGTTTACTACTACTTAACTCAAAGGAGTTTATTGAAATGTTCAAATCTCCAAATCCATAGCACGACAACAAAAAAAAAGATTTGAATCAATTATTCTGGTAGCCAAAAAAACCCCCAAAACCAATAAAAGCCCAAAAATAAAAAATGAGAGGTGGTGGGGAAAGTCATAATCAGATAACTTATCTCTACTCTGTGCTTTAACTTTATAACTCCCAGGAGGTTCTTAATCTGAGTGTTATTTCAGAAAAATCAATTAAAAGCAGCCAAAAGATTAGGGATATTTAATACCAAATATATGACAGAAATGATTATCTAAATACTAATTCTGGAAAATTCCCATAATTATATACACAACTAAAGAAATATGAGACTTGAGTGTAGAAAATAAAAGATAAGAAATGCGTAACAAAAATGAGAGAAGAACTACGGAAGACATAACATGGAGTAACCAAATCACTCCTCTGAATGTTTTCTTTAATTTTAAAAACTGATTTATTTCTAAAACAAATGTAACATGAGGCTAGGGGTAGAGTGCACGCTTAGCCCTAGGTCTGATCTCAAGCATCAAGAATTAAAAATTAACAGGGTGGAGACATGACCCAAACAATGTATGTATATGTGAATAAATGAACAAAAAATTTAAAAAAAAATTAAAAATTAAAATAAAATTACATATATTTAAAAAACAAATATTAACTTGAATCCATTATGTGGTGTTAAATCACTATAGATTGTTTTTTTCTCTTTTTTAAAGTTCATTACCACGTCTTACACTATAATCCATCATTGAAAATCTGTGTTGGAATATCATTTTACATGGTAACATTAGGGCTGTACACTATGAGCTAGTGGTCAAGTACCAGATGTAAAGTAAACATAAACACTGTATTTTCTTACAGAATTTCACCTAGGGAAGATAGGAAGATAACAGGGATTTAGAAGAAGGCAAGGAGGACAATGCAGTGAAAATTAGAGGGAGGAACAGGAAAGTGGGTTCTGACTCCTGAAACCTCCAAGCCCAATCCTAGGCAACGACCTGCCAATCGCCAACAGTCATTTTTCTTTTCAGAATAAAGCATTTACTGTTCTAAAAAGCTTCTGTAAGTAATATGAGTCATTTCAAGTAACAGCCTCTCTCTCTCTCTCTCTTACATTTCTGCCTACAGATACATCTATACTATCTATACAGTAGATATTGTGTTGTAATTGTTAAAGATGGGAAAGAAGTAGAAATGCAAGGAAAATTTTACATACTTAACTATGATTACATTATTTTAGTCTTACTTTCCTTCTAATTACAGAATACCTTGTGAGTTACTATGATGAAAGCCATAAAAACACTGTGGCAAAACGATGAGCAAAAATAATGTACGAGAGCATCTTGGGCACGTGGCTCTCATAATTTTGCCTCATAAAGTTTGCAAGTGGTTTTAAGTAACATTGAAGACAAAAAAGTTTACAGCACTGAAAAGAAATGGCCATTTTCTGAATTTCTAAATTCTGTCAATTCAAAATTATTAAATCAACCTGACAAGTTCTTAGCAAAGCTCCATAATATTGGCACAATCTTCACTGATTTTATAAGACATGATCCTTAAATGGTTTGGAGGCTTAGACTTATGACAGAAATTGCTACTATGAAGGAACAAGGCGTTATTTTCTCTGAATGCTCTACTCTGGTACACACAGGTAACGTGTAGCTGATGGTAGGCAGGCGCTCACACCAGTAAAGCTGGAAGGCCTCCACATTCAGGGAAAGCAGAGATAAAGCAATGGGTAGTAAAATGTGACTTGGGGGACTCAGTTGATGTAAGTTGCCACGTGCTGAAATGTTAGACTTGCTCTTTAGCAAGGCTGTACTGGTAAGATTTGACAGTGTTCAGAGGTAACACTTACTGAAAGTTTACTACTCACAATTTTCACATTATCTTGCAACACATCTAGGAGATAGGTACTCCTACTTTGCATATCACAGAAACTGCTAATTGCCATCCAATATCCCCTTCCTCTCTTTTTCCTTGTATAGAACCCTGAATTTATTAGGGGCAACAAAGTAGCCAGCTAAGATGGCATCTCCCATGTTCTCTTGCAGCTCAATGCCAGGAGATGGAGTCCTGGACTGGAGACAAACACAGAAGGATTGTGTGGAACTTTTAGGAAGGCTATTTAAAGGAATGTGACGGGCCAAGTCTCCAGGTTCACACTTCTGATGAACACTCAGCCCATGTAAGCTCCAAAAGTCAAGTCCTTTGTTATGCTCATTACTGAGTTCTTTATTATCCCGCTGCATTAGTATTTCAGAAAGAAGTTTAAACAGCCTCCACCATACCATATTCTTTTAGAAATATTAAATTATAGGACAAAATAAATTGGTTTTTTTCAATAAAATTAGGATGTCAGTGAAACAGACATAGAAGACATTATCTAAAGAAGCACTAAAATAGATTACAGGACACTGACTCTTGAGAAAATTAATAAACTGCTTTCTTACCTATAGTTACATCTCCTCTGATTTCACTTTCCACACATACAACTGCTCCAGGAGCAATCTTCACGCTGTAGGAGGAAAAAGATAACATTCATCATGGGTAAGATTAAAAATAATGTCATAGAAGCCATGCTGATACTGTAATTAAAAAGAAATCTAAAAAAACTGGTGAAAAAATGGAAAGTCAATTGCAAGAAGGTACAGTTTTAATATATATAATATATTAAATATATATTTAATATATATATATTTAATATATTATAAACTTCTCACATAGTATCCATCAGGCCAAAATCATATATGATGTACTATTAAAACACCTAATAGCTTTGGATCTTTTATTTGAATTTAATCAAATAGTAAAAAGCTAAAGTGACCTAGATAGCTCTCAGTAGAGGACTGATTAACAAATTACAGTACACTATGCACTAATACACAAACATCAAAGAGTACCTCCTTACATAAAGATTTTGGAATGAATTAGGCATGGTGGCATACACTTGTAATCTCAGCACTGGAAAGGGGTAAGGGGAGGAAGACTGAGTTTGAGGTGAGCCCGGGCTATACACTGAGATCCAGTCTCAAAAAAACAAAAAAAGATTTTGGAATGATCTTCTAGCCATACTGTAAAAGTAGCAGAGTCAAAAAATGAGCAGTATGTAATGTGCCACTATTTTTGTACACTGGGAGAAAAAGAGGTTATGTTGAAACTAACAATCAAAAAGGTAATTGTACAGAAATTTAGAATTTGCAAATATTTTTTTTCTAACAATATGTATTATAAATCTGTCTACCAAGTAATATAAATTGTAGTACAAATTGCTCAAAATATTCTAACAATTTCCACATAACTTACTGGTGCTTTCTGATATTCTGCTATGATTCTTTATTTGACATAGCTATATCTAGCTAAATGGTGTCTGTAGCTGAACCACAAGCTGATAGAAGCTGAATCAAATGACTGCCTCAGTAAAGTGGTAGTTAGCTATTAGGTAATTTGTTTCCATTGGAAAAAAAATCTTGTTTGATTAAGAATAATTTTTCTATAAAATAATGATTTTTTTTGTCTTTATAATACTGTCTGGGTTTTTCACAATTTTTGTTTACAGTTGTTCATTGCTAATACTCTATGGAAACACATTAATTTTGTATATTGACCTTGTATCTTGCTAAAGCCATTCCCCTCCCCACCATGCTGGGAATCAAACCCAGGGCCTTGTCCTTGCTAGGCAAGTGCTCTACCATTGAGCTACACCTCTAGCCCATAAACCCACTTTTTTGTTAATTCTTTGAAATTTCCCACATCAACAATTATGTTATCTGATTTATTTTTCTACTGTTACTTGTATGCCTATTATTTCTTTTTCTTGACCTACTGCTCTGGCTTGTACTTCTAATATACTATTAAATAGGAGTTGTGACAGCCTCCTCTTTGTTTTGTTCCCAATGTTATAGGAAAGTGTTCTAGTAAAACCCTAAAAACTACCTTTTAAGCCATGAATTCTGCATTTTAAGTAAATTACTAAAATCTGGTAAGTGGAACAGTTAAGGTTTTCTTGATCAAAATGTTGTACTTAATATATAAATTTTCCAAAAATTGTTTTCTCGTTTTATACATATGTTCTGTAACCAGCAAGGACTGGAAATCTAGATTGCAATTATTTGTTCATATTGATTTACTTTTTCTAAAGTTATATGAAAAGTGCTTATTTTTAACTTATAGAAGATAATATAAAACTTTTGTTTTCTTGCAGTGCTGAGGATTGACCCTCTGGTCTTGCACATTTTTAAGACATTTTTGATTAAAAAAAACCTGCAACATTTATTTTTTTGAGACAGATTCATGACATTCTTTTAAATGTGTATTCCTTGATGATTACTTGAATATTTATTTGCAAGCTATTTCTGGAATGACAGATAAGAAACAAATATTTGCCTTCAGAGAGGCAATAGTGAAATACTGTTAATGACCTGTGACAGTCATAAAGTGGGGAGAGGGGAATGAAAATACAATCATCAACTTATAGGAATACTATATACTTCCTAACAAAGCAGTGTAAAACTACAGAAAGATACTACAATGCTCATGCTAAACTTCCATTTAAACATGGTGATTGCTTAAAACCTTGGATGGCCAGCCTCATTCATTAAATATTACCTATGGCTACATTAGTACTAAGAGGTGAGTAGCTGCAACAGAAATGGTGACAGACCCCTGTTCTACATGAACAGCTTATCTCCCTTTATAAAACTCCACTCCTCTAAAACTTTTTCTTCCAGTAAAGGAACAGGAGGGAAGCAACAGCAGATGGAAGACATCAACAGATTTCTAGAAGACCTAGCAAAAGGAAAAGGGGTATGGAGGGAAAGGGGTATGGAGGGAAAGGGGTGTGGAGGGTGGGGGTGGGGAGGAACAGAGGATGCCAGGGATAAATCAGGGCTGTTGGATACTAGGAACCTTCCTCATCACAGTGTACACAGCCAAACAACTGACGCTTCCCTGATGCAACCCCATCCTGAGCCGCTGTGCTCAAGATACCAGGCCCAGGGGCAGTTGGGGAAAGATGGGCAGAGCACACAGTGAGACCACTAGGACTCTACTTGTCCTGTGTGCCTCCTTGACCCTAACACAGAATTTCAGACAGCAGGGATAGGAGTTTTCTAGAGAAACTGTCAGACATTATGAACTCTTCAATGGAAAGGTTGGCTTCCTGCCTGTCTTGTCCTGCCCTGAGGCCTGATGCACATCCCCAGAGCTTCCAGGCTTTCAGTCTTCATTCTTGATTACGGACAGTGAGCCAGGTATTTGAGGAACACTTCCAACTAAGAAGAAAAAGACCAAAATAAGAGAAATACAGGGAAAAGTCTGAGGGAACAGACAATTTAAAAAAAAAAAAAAAGGCAAGAGGGAGGGATGGTAGAGCATTTGCCTAACATGTGAAAGGCCATGGGCTGGATACCCAGAACCATAAAAGCACCTTATAAAGAACTCAGAGAAACGAGATTCAAACATGGCGGGAGTTAAGAAGAGGGTAACAGGACAGAGGCCTTCAGGAGGAAGATCACCAAAGGCAGGGTGGGAAGGACAGATTATCCAATGAGAACGTGGCACTTGACACATCTGTTGGGAGATGTGGAAATCATCAGCACACAGGAAAATAAGTAAATAGAAAAATGAAGCAATGATTTTTTTTTTTTTTGGAGTGGTACTGGGGTTTGCACTCAGGGTCTTGTACTTGCTAGGCAGGTGCTCTTCCACATGAACCATGTTTTTTCTCTGGTTATTTTTGAAATCAGGTCTCACTTTTTGCCCAGGTGGACCTGGACTGAAACCCTCCCAATCTCTGCCTCCCAAGTGGCTGGCATGACAGGAGCACACTACAGGAGCAGTTATTGGTTGAGATGGGGGGTCTCACGAACTTTTACGCCACAGCTGGCTTGAATTACCATCCTTCCAATTTCAGTCTCCCAGCTAGGTAGGATTACATGTGTGACTCACCAGTGCCTGCAGTATTTACATATATTTATGAACTAAAATTAAAAATGACTCCTTAAACTAAAAATTCAGATATAACTCTACTGTGGAGTAGGGTGTGTGTGTGTGTGTGTGTGTGTGTGTGTGTGTGTGTGTGTGTGTGAGGGAGTACTGATAAAAAATTGCTAACTCCTCAATAAGAAATCAATAGATTTCTTATCTGCATGAAATGATACATCAAGAAAAGCAGACTAAGGGCTGGACATGGCAGTACATACCTATAATCCCAGCTTTTGGGGAGGCAGGATCAGAAAGATCGTGGTTTGAGGCCAGTCTGGGCAAAAAATTAGCAAGATCCCATTTCAATCAATAAACCAGGAGTGGTAGTGTGTGCCTGTGGTCTCAGCTATGTGGGAAGCTGAAGGTAGGAGGATCATGATGAGGCCTGCCCAGGCAAAAACAGGAGACCCTACCCAAAAACAACTAAAGCAAAAAAGGGCAAGGAGGAGTGTGGCTTAAGTGGTAGAGCAACTTCCTACCAAGCACAAGTTCAAACCCCAGTAGCACAAAAAAAAAAAAGCAGAGTTTTTTTTGTTTTGTTTTGTTTTTTTAAGAAAAATAAGAGGCAAATAGTAAAAGAGCTGCAAGAGTTTGGAGAATCTGCTTCAAAGGTAGCAGAAATGTGGTGAAGGACAAACCAAGGGCTGCTGCTTTACAAATGAGCCTTTTATGAAGGATGTAACTGTGTGCATGTGTTACTTTGATAAAAAGTAGAACCAGGTTATTGTTTTTTTGTTTGTTTGAGACAGGGTCTCCCTTTGTAGCCCAGGTTGGCCTCTAACTCAATATCCTCCTGCTTCAGCTTCCCAAGTGCTGGGATTACAGGCATGTATATCACACCTGGTTACAGTTAGGTTCAAATAATAGAAAAGAGTAAATGTTTCTGCAACAGTGCTCATGGGAAAATATTAAAACATGATTATATTTATTTACAATAGCATATGCATACAAATAAGCAAAGTAAAAAATAAAAATGTCTTTCTTCCCAGGTTGAACATCACTGGATCGATGGAAAGATGGAAGACAAAAGGCAGACGGGGCTGAGAAGGAAAGCAGGGCCAGTCCATGAACATATTTGCACACCAGGACAAGGGATTTGAATCTGCACTTGTAGACAGGCTGTCAGTGAAGGATTCTCATTCTCAAGCCAAACTGAATGTAGATAACTGCACTCCTAAAATGAAGTGCTTGGTAGTAGTGGAAAGGCAGTGGGAGGGGAGGTTTAAGGAGGCAGTTGGCCTGATTCTGCAGAGATAATCTGGGGCTGAAAGACAGAGGTAGTGCAAAGAAGCTGCAGGTATTTGAGCTGCAGACTCAGCAACAAATACTACAACTAATAAAATCTGGCTTTTAGTGACCTAACCAATGTACAGGTAAGGCTATCCAGAATTGTCACAATGAATATATGCCAATAAAAATGACAAAAAAAAAATCTGGCTTTTAGGTAAAGTTGAAGGTGGGTAACTTCCATTCCCTATTATGGCCCAGTGGACCACAAAGTATGAGTCTGCCTTCTCCTTGGAGCAGGGGAAATAGGTTTGAATGGGGGGGAAGCATGGAATGAAATGAGGGAAATTGGTCAACCATCCTGCCCCTTTCCTGGGAAGTTGGAAGGCAGGTTCAAATCCCAGGCCAGGAAATCAGCTGCTCTAACTCATCTCCATTAGGGCCAGAAAACCTAGCAAAGGTGAGGAGACAGGGAGCAAGACCAGTGTCTAGGTTTCTGATATGAAAGACAGATGACATAATCTGAGAAACAGCCTATGGAAAGAGGGCAAATTTCAGAGGGAGACTTTATTTTGTTAAATGTTAGGTAAATTCAGTCAGAGGTATCTATGGAATATTCAGGGAATAAACTCAAAAAGCTACTAAAAATGCCCATATGTGACTCATGGGACAGGTCTAAATATATATCCCTAAGTCAGAAGGGTATAGATTTCTTTTTAACATCACTCCATCACTTATATGCCAAAATACCCCCAAATATTCTTCAATATAAATGCTCTAGTAAAAAGAGTATGCAACAGGGCTGGAGGAGTGGCTTAAGTGATAAAGCTGCCTAGCAAGCATAAGGCCCTGAGTTCAAACCCCAGTGCTGCCACAAAAAAAAAAAAAAAAAAAGAGTTTGTATCAAACAGAAAAAAATGAATAATCCCCCTGGCTCTATCTTCAAGAACTGGTTGGAAGATTAGACACAACTACATCTGTCACTGACTTTCTGCAAAGAATGAACTGATGAAATCCTACAGTTATCCTCCTGGGATACCACTGTCCCATCAAGATACCACTGTCCCATCAAGAGTCAATCTAGGGCTGGGATGTGGCTAGGTGGTACAGTGCTTGCCTAGCATGTGCAAGGCCCTGGGTTCAATCCCAGCACCAAAAAAGAAAAGACAAAAAAAAAAAAAAAAAAAAAAAAGTCAATCTGTTCCCACCACAGAAAACATGAACCCTTCCTACCGAATTAGAGAAGAAAGAAAAATTTTAGCAAGGTGGAGCAGAATAACAAAGCAGAAAAACAACTCCTCCAACTCCCACACTCCCTTTTTTTGGTAGTGTTGGTGTTCAAGTTTCACTCTACCTCTTGAGCCACGCCTCCAGCCCTTTTTGCTCTGGTTATTTTGGAGATAAGGTCTCACTTTTTGCACAGGCCAGCCTGGACGATAACCTCTTTAAGCTTACTTACCACTATTATTCGGATGACCGCCAACCCAGCTTCTTGCCATTGAGATACGGTCTTGCAAACTGTTTTGCCTGATCTCAGCCTCTCCCCCCACCCCACCCCAGCTTGAGAAGACGTGTATGGCACCCATCCCTGCTACTGGTTAAAAAGGGGTCTTGTGAGCTCCCTGCCCAGGCTGACTTTGAACTGAGATCCTCCAAATCTCAAACTCCCACATAGCTAGGATTACAGGCATGTACACCTGCACCTGGCTACAACCCTCTCATTTTATAGATAAGTGAACGGAAATGTTAAGACTAGAAATTTCTGTTAGCAAAGTTCATTCCTGGGGCATCACTGTCAGCCATCACTTTTCTGTTAGCAAAGTTCATTCCTTGGGCATCACTGTCAGCCATCTCTTTTCTGTTAGTTGAAAGTTGCCTGGAAACATTCTATTTTTCCTGTGATAACTGAATGATGCTCTCCGTTTGTAAATGCCATTTCTCTGATACTTGTAATTAAGGAGGGTTTGGTGTTAAAATATGAAATGTCATTAAGCTCTAATCCAATAAAACAGCCTATATAAAATGTCTCGTTTTAGGCCTTGCAAATTTCCATTCCCTCACACTTAGCTTGTCCCGGGCAACCGCGGGTAGGAGGGCGTCAAGTGCCCCCGTTCTGGGGAGCGATCGCAGGTAGTGTTTAGATCACAATCGGCGCTGTTCAGATTGGCAGGAAATGATTAAATTCACGACCAGACCAACTAAGCCGTGGACCCCACTGCACCGCGGAATGGAGGGGCGCAGTGGGAGAAGGCAGCTGAGGAAAGAGCGGAACCCCAAACCTAGCAAAAGAACAAGTCAAGAGCGCCTTCGCTGTATAATATTTATAGACTACAAGTTATCTGCTTACGTAGAAGAAAACCTAACATTTTAATTTATGGCGCTAGAAACAATGTCGCTTTTGTCAGGGTCAGCAGAGGATGCTCCACAGCGCTGCTTGGGGAGCAGTTTGGGGTCGGCGCGCATTTCTGCCATCACAGCGGTGTGCTTCCACCCACGGCCTGGCCCAGCGGTGCTCGGCACCGGAACACAAGTCAGGAGTCGGGAGAGCAGGAGCCGGCCAGGGTAGGACCCGGCGGCTACCGGGCGGCTCCGGCCCCTCGCGCCCGCCGGACGGCCCTCTGCGCACGCGCTACCACAAGAAGGCCGCACAATATCCGCCCCCGCCGACACCGCAGCCCTCCCCGCACCCACTCCGTCGCCTCCTCCCTCGGCAGACGCCCGGTCTGGGTTTTAGGTGCCATCAACCCGAGCACTCGGGAGGAGACGCCACCTCAGTCTCCACCAGTGACGACCAGAAACAGGTTCCACCACTGCAGAGAGATGAGAACAGGCTCTTAGCAAGCAGCAGACTCACCTCTTTTGAGTCTTCTCCGCCATCGTAAGGCCCCGGTCTCCAGTCCGAGCGGAGATCGACACCGCCGCCTGGGCGGAGCGATGATCTCTACACACCGCTGGGGAGCCTGGGAAGGTTGGGTGAAGGGCGGAGCCGCGGGGCCGAGCGCAGAGGGGCGGGGTCTGCGCTGCGGGGGCGGGGCTGGTGGGCGGGGCCCGAGGGGCGGGGCCAGGGAGGCTCGCGGTTCTCCTGTTGGCTCTGTGCTTGGGTTTGGCCAACCATTTGGGTCCGCGCTGCGTGACCACCGCCCATTTCAGTGTTGTCCATCAGCGGTTAGACTGGAATTTAAAACAGCCGTGTATTCCATCCGGCGTGCATCATTATAGCCTCATTTTACCCCCTGCCCTTTGATACTCCCCTTTGATTACACCCTGCAGTCTCCCTCCGACCTCACTGGATGCTCCTTTTCAGCCTCCTGGCTTTGCTTCCCGTGTTAGGATTCCTCCTACCAGGCCCCGGGCCATTTTCTCCTTGTGAGCGATCTCATCTTTCCCGTAGGTTATGTACTGCCCTTACCGGCTAACTTTCTCAAATTATACATCCAGTTTCACACCTGATATTCGATTGATTATTGACATCTCTATTTGCATGCCTCAAAGTCTTACCAAACTTAAAACGTCCAGAATGGGAGCTTTCAATGAACGCCCTTCCCCTCCCTCCAGCCGGTTGCTCCTTGACTACCATCTCAGTTCATCCACCTGTTCCAGCCAGACTCAGGAGTTTGTCATCCTTGGCACTCCTTACCCCTACCCATGGAATTCACCTTCGAGTTCTGCTATTCCAGCCTTTGGGCCTGGGCCTCATTCTGCCACTTTACACTGTTTACTCCACCATCTCTAACCACCTACCATGCCTCTCCCCTGTTGTCTGCTCCTTCCATCCTTGGCCTCTAGAATCATGGCCTCTACTCTCCCATCCAACCTCCATCCAAGTCATTCTCTTAATCATCCTTTGAGAACCAAATCCAGTTATTTTACTTCTCGTTTCTTAGAAAACTCAAACTACTTTCCATTGCCTATCTCTGGGCTAGCTCCAGCTCCTGCTACTTTTCTCTTCTAGAATTGTCTTTTGCTTCTGTGTTCAGTCACACCTTTCTCCAAGAAGCCAAACTGGCTCTCCATACCTAACTACTTCCACTTTCAGCCTCCACCCCACCCCAACATCTTCCAGCTCTTTAAGTCCCGGATGTCACATATACCACGTGCAACTGAATGAATAGAACCAGCAGGAGATACTATCACAAGGTTTATTGCAAGGAATTGGCTTCCATGATTGTTGGGATCTGGCTAGGTGAGTACAGAAGCTGTAGCTCAAGCTGGGGCTGTCCTGCAGAAAGAGAAGCTGCTGTCCACAGGTGATCTTTCTTCTTTGGGGTGGGGGGGAGGCCTCAGCTCTGCTGGTAGTCTTTCAACTGATTGAATCAGGCCCACCCAGATTATCTAGGAAAATCTCTCTTCTTTAAAGTTAACTGGTTATGGACTTTAACTACATCCATGAAATACCTTCCCAGCAGCACCTGGATTAGTGTTTTATTGAATGACTGGAGACAGTAGCCTCACCAAGTTAACACCAAAAAAGATGAAGCATCACATTCAAGAAAACCCTCCTTGATCATCTGTCTTAATCTGTTTTAGCTACTATAACAAAATACCTCAGGTTGGGTAATTTACAAGCAATAGAAATTTATTGCCCACAGTTCTAGAGGCTGGAAAGTTCAAGATCAAGGCAGCATAGATTCTGTGTCTGGCAAGGGCCTGTTCCTTATACATGGCACCTCTTGCTGCATCATCCTCACACAGGAATCCCTTAATACCGTCACCTGGGGAGGCGTGTTAGGTTTTAACACACAAAACATTCAGACTATAAAAAATAGGCTACCCTTGGTATTCTGATAATTTTTTCATTAAGATTAGGATAGTATTCATCAATAGCTGTACTTATTTTACTCTTTCCTCAAAGACAAGGTAGGACCTTGTGAGTTTTATTCCCAATTTTTACTTGACACCAACCAAAGTGTCTGGCACACACTGATCCTCCTCACAAAATTTTGCATACACATGAATTTAAAATATTCTTTTGTCCCAAGCATGTAAACACCTATACATTTTCAGCAGTGTCTATCTAAATTAATTTGGAAGGCTTCCACTATATGCTTACAAGAAGGACCATTCTATCAGCATTAGATACTATGAGCTTCTCAGGGCTCTATAAACTATTTTAAAATATATTGTTAGCTGACCTATAGTAATTGCATATATTTAAGGGATACCATGTGATAACTTCCTTTAATACATGTATACTATACATAATGATCAGATCAGGATAATTGGTATATCCACCACCTCAAACATTTCTTTGCGTTGGGAGCCTTTGAACTCCTTTCTACTATTTTGGAATATATGATTTGTTGTTGTCAACCATGGTTATCCCACTATGCTATTAGACATTATATTTTCTATATAACTGCACCCTTGTACCCACATCCTCTTGAGTCCCCTTTTCCACCCCTTCCCAACCTCTGGTAATCACCATTCTACTCTATACATGTTTGAGCTCAGCTTTTTTAGTTTCCAATTAAAGTGAGAATGTGTGGTATTTGTCGTTCTGTGCCTAACTTATTTTATGTAACATAATGTCCTCCAGTTCCATTCACGTTGCTACCAATGACAAGACCCATTCTTTTTCATAGCTAAATAATATTCCATCTTGTATATGTATCTTATTTTCTTTATCCATTCATCCATTGATGGACACCTAGGTTCATTCCATATCCTGACTATTGTGAATAGTGCTGCAGTAAACATGGGAGTGCAGATGTCTCTTTGACACACTGGGATAGCTGGATTCTAGGTATATATTTTTTTCTTTTATTCATATGTGCATATAATGTTTGGGCCATTTCTCCCCCCTTCCCCCCACCCCTCTTACCCCTGCCCCGCCCCCTCCCTCTCCCCGCCTCGCTATCAGGCAGAAACTATTTTGCCCTTATCTCTAATTTTGTTGGAGAGTATAAGCAATAATAGGACGGACCAAGGGTTTTTGCTAGTTGAGATAAGGATAGCTATACAGGGAGTTGACTTGCCTTGCTTTCCTGTACATATGTGTTACATTCTAAATTAATTCTTCTTGAACTAACCTTTTCTCTAGTTCCTGGTCCCCTTCTCCTATTGGCCTCAGTTGCTTTAAAGTATCTGCATTAGTTTCTCTGCATTGAGGGCAACAAATGCTGTCTAGTTTTTTGGGTGTTTTACTTATTCTCATACCTCCCTTGTGTGCTCTCGCTTTATCATGTGATCAAAGTCCAATCCTCTTGTTGTGTTTGCCCTTGATCTAATGTCCGCATATGAGGGAAAACATGATTTTTGGTCTTTTGGGCCAGGCTAACCTTGCTCAGAATGATGTTCTCCAGTTCATCCATTTATTCGTGAATTTTTTTTTTTTGAGGAAGCATTGTACTGTTTTCCATAGTGGCTATACTAATTTACATTCTCACTAATTGTCATTTGTTTTGCATTCTCACCAGCACTTGCTATTTTTTGTCTTTTCTTTTGAGACAAGGTCTTGCTATGTAGCCCAGGCTAGCTTTGAATTTGTGCTCCTCCTGCCTCAGCCTCCTGGGATTACATGCATGTACCCCCATGAGGCACTTTTAAAAAAAAATCTTTTTGATGATAGCCATTCTAACCAGGATGAAAGGACAAGATGACATCTCACTGTGTTTTTAATTTTTATTTTAATTTTTTTAGTGAGAGTGCAAAGGAGGTGCTCTACCACTTAAGCCACATCTCCAGTTCATTTTTGCTTATTTTGGAGATGGAGTCTTGCAAACTATTTGCTTAGGTTGGCCTCAAATTGTGATCCTCCCAATCTCTGTCTCCCAAGTAGCTAGGATTACAGGTGTGAGCCACCAGCACCCAACTGATTTGTATTTTCTTAATGATTAGTGATATTGAGCACTTTTTCATATACTTGTTGGGTGTTTATATATCATCTTTTGAAAACTGTCTAGTCAGGTATTTGCCCATTTTAAAAATCAGATTTTTGAGTTCCTTGTGTATTCTAGATATTAATCCTTTGTTGGATATGAATAGTATGCAAATATTATCTCCCATTCAGTAGGTTGTCTTTTCACTGTGTTGCTTGTTTCATTTTCTGTACAGAAAGTTTTTAGTTTAATGTAATCGCATTGTCAGTTTTTGCTTTTGTTGCCTGTGCTATTGGAAAGCAATTTCATTATTTGTATTATTAAAAAAACTACTGCTACTGATTTTGGGGGGTTGGGTGTGGGGTGCATACCTGTAATTTCAGTTACTCAGGACACAGAGATCAGGAGGATTACAGTTTGAGGCCAGCCTAGGAAAAAGGTTAGCAAGACACCATCTCAACTAAGAAGCCAGGTATGGTGGTATACATGTGTCATCCCGCTCCCTGGGAGGCACAGGTAGTAAGATCATGATCTAAGGCAGTCCCCAACAAAAAATGCAAGACCCTATCTAAAAACATAACTAAAGCAAAAAGCACTGGGGCGTGGCTTAAGTGGTAGAGTACCACTTAAGCCACAAGCATGAGGTGCAATTGCCTGTACCAAAAAAAAAAAAAAAAAAAAACCAGAAAGAGAGAAGAAAAAAGAAAGAGTGGTAAAAGTGGACATCCTTGCCAAGAATCCTGGGCTGTAGTGTGCTATGTTGATAGGGTATCCCTGCACTAAGTTCAGCATCAATATGGTGGCCTCCCGGGAGCGGGGGACCACCAGGTTTCATAAGGAGGGTGAACCAGCCCAGGCTGGAAACAGAGCAGGTCAAAACTCTCGTGCTAATTAGTAGTGGGTCACACCTGTGAGTGACTCCACTCCAGCCTGGGGAACACAGCAAGACCACGTCTTTAAAAATGAAAGGAAGGAAGGAGGGAAGGAGGGTGAGAAGGAAGGAAGAAAGGAAAGAAGGAAGGAAGGGAGAGAGGAAGGAAGAAAGGAAAGAAGGAAGGGAGGAAGAAAGGAAAGAAGGAAGGGAGGAAGGAAGGAAGAAAGGAAAAAAGGAAGGGAGGAAGGAAGGAAGAAAGGAAAGAAGGAAGGAAGGGAGTGAGGGAAGGAGGGAAGAAACAAAAAAGTAAAAAGTGGACATCCTTGTCTTGTTCCCAATCTTAGAGGCAAAATTTTACCTTTTCCTCATTCAGTGTGATGTTGACTTTTGGTTTGTCACTTATAACCTGTATTGTATTGTGGTATGTTTCTCTTAAGCCTAATTTTTTGAGGGGTTTTATCACAAAGGAGTGTTGATTTTTATCAAATGATTTTTCTGTACCTATTGAGATGATCATATAGTTTTTGTTCCTCATTTTCTTGATATAAGGTATTATGTTTGCTGAGTTGTGTATGTTAACCACTTGATCATAGTGTATTATCTTTTTGATGTGTTGTTGGGTTCAGTTTACTAGTGCTTTGTTGAGAATTTTTGCATCTGTATGAAATTTTCTCCTCCTTCTCCTTGCTCTTGTTTGGTCTCAGTGTCAGCCAGCAATACTGACTGGGTAGAGTGAGTTTGGAAGGGCTCTCTTCATTCTCATATTCCCCGTGCTTAGCACAGCATCTGTTAAAATGGTGTACTCACCAGCTTTCTGTCAGCGTGACAAATACCTGACATAAGCAGTTTATAAGGAGGAAAGGCTGTTTAGCACCCAGTTTCAGAGGTTTTGTGAAGACCATGGCCCTGTTGCTTTGGGGCCTGTGTTGAGGCGGTACATCATAGCAGGAGTGTGTGGCAGAGGACACTGACTACCTAATGGTAATCAGGAAGCAAAGACAGCGGACAGGCTGGGGTCTGTTCCCTCAGTAACCTAATTTCCTCCTTCTGGGCCCCAGCTTTTGAAAGTTCGTGCACTTCCCAATAGAGCCACAGGCCACCAATCAAACCTTTAGCACGTAGGCCTTTGGGTGATACTTATTCAAACCATAGCAGATGGTAGTCCAGTAGTGCTTGTACGTTCATTATTCAGTCATTTACCGTCAAGCATATTCAACCATCCAGCGTGCTTCTTTCCAGCTTTACCTAATTTTCATAACAATTCTGTTGAGCAGGCATTATTATGTCTACTTTTAAGATGAAGGAATCTCAGAGAGGTAAAGTGACTTGCTCAAAGTTCCCCAGTCAATAAGAAGCTTTTGGGTTTGCTCTTCTGTGCAGGGCTGGCTATCATTAGGAAGTGATCCTTGCCCCCTGTGATGCTCCTGTAACATCCTCCATTTAACGCTGCTTCTTTTGCCTGTGCCTTTGGTGATGAAAGCCAGCTGGGACAGTCCTATAATGGACTCAGCAAATGGATCACCAAGGCCAAGAGATGGCCTCTCATGCTTGCCTTGCCTCTAGGAAGTCCCTTCTGCATTACTTGTCCCTCCTCCAAAGAATGCTCTTTAAATGTTTCCTCTCCACCCTTCTGCATCCTCAAAACCCTGTTAACTTTAACATATCCTCACTGAATACAAAGTAGCCTGCAACACTGCTCTGTGTGCTGGGGGAATAACAATAAACAAAATAAAACCCTTCCCTTGTAGAGCTCACATGGGCCTGCAAAAGGACAGAAAATAAACCAATCAAGAAATAAGTACAAAGGGGTGCTGACATGAAAAAAAATGGTTATGTAAAGAGATTGACAGGAATAGGGGTCTTGATTTTTGCCTTAAGCCTCTGCCTCCCTTCTTCCTGCTCATGATCTTGTTCCCTTCCCTGGTCCAATTGTTTCTGTCCTCAACTGGAAAATGAGATTTTTCATTAACTTAGTGAAGAAAATATGACAGTGCGATGACTGGAAAGGCAAATAAAGTGCTACGTATCTGCAAACCACAACTTCTGGAAGCGATGTTTTTAGTACATATTATGAAGCAATGTAACACCGAAATGTGTTTTGGTTTCCATAGTACAGTTTCCTTTATCAGAAGGCCAATTTTTTTTATTCTGCTTATCTCCAGAGCTTTTGTTTGGTTTTTGCTCACTCGGGGTTTCCTACATCATATGAAAACTGTATAAAAAGATCAGAGAGAGCCCAGCTTCTGTTTCTCTTGCAGGAAGGCACCAGTGCAGGACTAGTAAGGATAGTGTCTTCTGTTCATAATGGATTGGTTTCGATTGTTCTTCATCCATCCTGTGTCACTTTATCAAGGGGCTGCTTTTCCATTTGCACTTCTGTTTAATTATCTCTGCATCATGGAGTCATTTTCCACTCGGGCCAGGTAGGCTGGATGGTTAACTTTGCTCTTACATCTAGTACTATTTTAATAGGGCAGAATGCAGAGCAGACTGCATGTGCAAAGATCATGTATTAATTACCTTATTCTTAGTTTACCATCCCTGCCAGTGATTCTGGTTGCTTGATAAGAAATATGCACAATGTAAAACTGACCTGGAAATTGACATCATGTCTGAAATAGACCCAAAAGTTTGATGGGTTCACATTAAGTCAGAAATGAATGAGCATAAACTGGGGAGAGATGGTTGGTGGAACAGTACAGGACATCTTCAAATGTATACATACCTCTGTACCAGTCATAGGTCCCAAATATTCTTGAGCAGTCCTGTTTTTATAGACTTTTACTATTTTCAATAAAACTAAATATTATGTAAATATTCATATGTTACATTTATAACAAAGCATGATTTTGAAAATGGCTTTGTATGATTTCTCAGAGAAATAAGTCAAAACCAATCTTGGTAGATAAGCTATGTCTCAACTTGGGTTATTGTCACTAGAGATTTGATAGCTTCATTATAATCCTTTTTTATATCAAATAATCTCAATACTTTAGAGACAGTCCCTATTTTTAAAAAGGTTTAGTGGAATGCCCTTTTGAAAAGTGAAAAACCCATTGCTCAAAGGTCACCTGCTAATAATTTTCTTATTTTGGAAACTAGGGTTAATATATAGTTTTCCTTTCTTTTTCTCTGTGTGTGTGTGTATTTTGCTTGTGAGTGAGCCCAGGGCCTTGAACGTGCTGGGTAAGCATTCTAGTGTTATTGGGTTTTCTGAAATAAAAATCTAGCTGTAGCTAGTAATCAGGATTGCTGAGTTTAACTGAACTATAGTGTGTCAGCCCATGTTCACAACTACTGCATGGCCCTTACCTTTGTTTCTGGAAGATGGGATGTGGGGACAGTTAGAAGTTTCTACTGAGAAAGAATCTCAAAACAGCAAAGCAAAATAAGCACAAATAAGTTGACCCCATGGAGTTACTGTAGGATTAAGGTTGCTCACTGTGAAGTCAGCCTGTGGAGTCCTCACTCCCTTGCTTACTGAGTGTCCTCATGTGTGTGAATAAACTCCCTGAGGTGTCCTGTCTTTATCTGTAAAATGGGAATAATAATAATGAGGTTCCTTTTTTTAGCAGTTTTGGGGTTGAATCCAGGTCTGTCTACTACTAAGCCATATCCTCAGCTCTCAAGAAGTGTTTTTTTGTTTTAAAGATAGGGTCTCACTATGTAGCCCAGGTTGAATTTGAATGCACCATGTAGGCCAGTCTGGCCTCAGACTCTCGATCCTTCTGTCCAGCCTTCTGAGTGCTGCTCATGGAGTTATCTTAAGGATTAAATGAACAAAAATACTTTTTTTTTTTTTTTTTGGTTTGAGCTCAGGGCCTGTGCTTGCTAGGCAGGTGCTGTACCACTTGAGCCACTCCCCCAGCCCTTTTAGCTTTACGTTGTTTTCGATGGGAGCTTGCACTTATTTCCAGGCTGGCCTTGGACCATAATCCTCCTGCCTCCATCTTTTGAGTAGCTGGGATTACAGATATGTGCCATCACTCCCAGCTAAGATAGTTCTTGTAAAGAATTATTAGCACAATGCCTAGACTGAAATGAAATGAAATTGAAAGCATTCAGTAAATTACACATCCTATACTGTATACATTTCAGTGTCTGCAAATTCCTAGGATACTTGCCTGACATCTAATTCTGCTACATAAGGAATAAGTCCCCTCCACTCCCTGCTTATTTTTTAATAGCAAGTAAAAGCTTAGACTACAGTGCCAATTGGGGTGCTCTGGGGAGGAGCCACTGTAAGTACAGGTTGGAAGAACAGCCCAGGAGTGGCAATAGAGCCTCTCCCAGTGAGGCACCTACTGGTGTCTCCAAGAAAGTAATTCTTGCTGATGAGTGCCCAGCAGTGTGCATGGAGCCATGATTCATCCCAGTGCTTCCTGGTTCTGAGTTGCCAGAGAAAATGTAGGCATCTTTCACTCACCTCCCCCAACCCTGACCAACCCCCTTTACACTTTTTCTTACCCTTTCATTGTACTTTATTAATTTGGCATATGTTTTTAAAACCTTGCATATAATGCAGAAGGAAGAACCAAGTTCACATAGTTTAACTCTCCCAGGCCTTGGGAGATCGTCTACTTGCTTCTGAGGGAGGTGTGGTGCACAAGCCACTTTTTTAGAACATTGGAAAAAAACAACTGGGCCTTTTCCTCTTTGGCTGCCTGAGGACAAACCACTATCTTGGAAGACTCAATAACCATTTAGCCCAGGGAGTTCATGACCAACGACCACTTCAGTGTCAATTAGTGGTCACAGGTGTAACCCTAAGAAGGCACTAGTACTAAAAGAAAGGTTTGGTGGAAAACTGGCCAAAATGTATACCAGATGTCATGTTTTTATTTGGATTCAGGCCCCATTTTGGTGGTGGCAAGGTAAGTGTCATGATTTTCAATTCCTTGGCTCACATAAAGAAAAATGAACCTGAACCTCAACTTTCAAGACACAGCCTGTTTGAGAAGAGAAAGACTTCAAGGAAACGCAGAAAGGAGCGTGAAAACAGAATGAAGAAAGTTGGGGGGACATTTAAAAAGACAAAACAGGACTAAAGATTCTTCAGCCACTTGATCTGCAGTGACTGTGGGATTTTTCCCAAGAGGACTAATAAACTGTCAAAATAAATGAAACAGTAAGTTCTGTGTTGTAAGGACTGGTAGTGAGGGTGAAGTGTAGATACAAAAGATTTTCTCACTGAGTTTTCAGACTGGTCAGAGAGGCACTGACCCTCCTTCCTCTCTGAAATGCTTCAAGGCTGTGCACACGCTGTGGAAAGGAGGCACTTGCTGTGGAGAGAGCTTGGCCAGCTCCTCCACACTTCTCAGACACACACGTCCCTACCGACAAGCCCTCCAGGACTGCTAGGGACAGTGGCGACATCCCATGGGTGGGAGCCACTCAATGGCTCCGAGAGAGAGGTTCCTAGGTGGATGTGGCTCTTTTTCTTGTGCTTCTTGCCTTCAGAAAATCAAGAGGAGGGCTGTGGTGTTCCTTTAGGAGTTATATGGGCCTACCTCAACTACGTTCCCTGGGATCTCTTCTGAAGTGATTTAGTTGCCTCACTATTCTCAGTGAGTGCCACCATGTTGTCCCCTTTCTTTCAGGTACCTCTTTCTCCTGGCTGGAGGAGGTGCCCTGGCCTTGGCTGCCATGGGTTCCCTTGCTCTTCTTGTCTTCATCCCTGCTCTCTGCGCCGGGGTTCTGGTCTCCTCACTTGGGCCACAGGACGTCCACAGGTGCGCTTTCTTCTTTCAGATGAGCTGGCAGACGCTGTGTCACCTGAGTCTGCACTACACTGAGTACTATCTGCAAGAGCGCCCCTCTGTGAGGTAAGGCCACTCTGTGAAGTAAGGTCCCCTCCGTGAGGTAAGGTCCCCTCTGTGAGGTAAGGCCACTCTGGGAGGTAAGGTTCCCTCCGTGAGGTAAGGTCCCCTCCGCAAGGTAAGGTCCCTCTGTGAGGTAATGTCCACTCCGTGAGGTAAGGCCCCTTCGTGAGGTAAGGCCCCCCGGTGGCATTGAAAGAATGTGAGCACTGAGTTTGAACCCCAGTCTTTCCACATCTGAGCAGTGTACTCTTGAGCAAGTTGTTTAGCTTCTTTCATGTTCAATCTCTTTTCCTTTTTCTTTTTTTGATAGTACTGGCTTCGAACTTAAGGACTTATGCTTGCTAGACAGGTACTCTACCACTTGAGTCATTTCTCCAGTCCTTTTGCTTTATATATATATACATCTATCTATCTTTATATATATATATATATATATATATTTTTTTTTTTTTTTTGCAGATAGGGTCTTGAGTTTTTGCCCAAACTGGCATTGAACTAAGATCCTCCTACCTCCCCCTTCCAAGTAGGTGGGATGACAGGTGTGTACCACCATGTCCGTTCAATCACTTTTTCTAGGGGAAAATATAAATGTATATGTATACATGATGGGTTAGCAATACCTAGCTTACAAATCTGAGAGTATTACGGATATGAATGTAAGTTCAATTCTATGACTACACATAGTCATGACATCCTTTTTATGGAGCATAGCATCTGGCACTTGGCTGTGACTGTCATTGTGCCTGGGAAGGAGGGTGAACCTGGAGTCCCACAGCCCACAGGTAAGGCCTTCCTGGAAGTGACAGCACAGTTTGCTGACCTCAGCACAGGAGGCTTAGACACACAGACAGCAGGTATAAATCACTGTGCATCCTTGCTGCCTTCCCATGACTGCAGCTGCTGCAGAAGAGTTTTATTTTACTTAGACTGTTTATTCAACTGTTTCCATCCTCCCCGCTTTCCCCCCAAGGAGGGTAGTCCCAATCTAGGAAAAATCCCAGAGCCAGGTACTGGGGACTCATAACTATAATCCTAGCTACCTAGAAGGCTGAGATTGGGAGGACTGTGATTCAGGGCCAGCCTGAGCAAATAGTCTGTGAGACCCCCATCTACAAAATAACCAGAGCAAAAGGAAGTGGAGGTGTGGCTCAAGTGGTAGAGCACCTGCTTTGCAAGCATGGAGCCCTGTGTTCAAACCTCAGCATCACCAAAAAAACAAAACAAAAAACTAGGAAAAAAACAAACAAGAACTTATTACAGCGTTGGTAAATATTTTTGTGAGTCAGCGAGATTGCCAAGAAACAAGTTTCTTGTGCTCTTGAGGCTCCCTCTGGTTATCAGCTGGCATGGGTCTGTGTCACTCAGAGTACAGAAGCTGTGATTGCTCTAGGTTGTCACCTCTCTGATTCATTCATTGGTTCACTTAATTTTCTATCCCTACTGCACTTTGAATCTGTTCCTGAAAATTAGTATAAGCTGGGTATGTTTGTGCACAGTACTCGGGGGGCTGAAGGAAGGAGGATCATGAGTTCTAGGTTAGCCTGGATTACACAGTGAGACTCTATCTCAAAAAATGAAGAACAAAACCAAAATTATTATTATGACAGTTTTCACCAAAGGCTTCAGACTTACTTCTGTGAGGGCAAGAGAAGATGGCAGGTGGGCAGGGCACAGGAAGTACTGCGTGGATGTGTGAACTGGGACTTGAGTAGTAACCAGGGACTGACAGGCCAGAAGGGCAAGTTGAACAGGATCTGGCTGGGTGGGAAGAAGGCCGAGCCACACCTGAAGTGAGAACGTGTGTTACTCTGCTACAGCCTCATGACAAAGCCCCACAGACGGTGTGGCTTCAACCACAGAACTTTATCTCATCACAGTTCTGGAGGCTGGAAGTCCAAGGTGAATTTGTGGACAGAATTGCTTTCTTCTGAGGACTCTCTCCTTGACTTGTAGATGGCTGCCTCCTCCCTGTGTCCTCACGTGTGTGTCTGTGTCCTAATCTCTTCTGCGAAGGACACCAGGCATATTGGATTAGGGCTTACCCTGTGGCCTCATTTTAATCCCCTCTAAAGGCCCTGTCTCCAAATACATTCACACTGAGGTATGAGGGGTTAGAAATCCAGCATATGAATTCAGCCCCTAAAAGAAGGTGAGTTAGCACGGGGTTGGTGGCATTTGGAGGCTACCTGCTTTCAGTGAGGATATGTCAAGTGATCGGATCTGATGTCCTGAAATCTTCAGTCATGGCTGCAGTTGGAGGCAGTGCTGTCTTCTCTCCGAGGGACAGCAATGCTGGTTATAGAAAGTGTCTCCTTAATAGTCCTGTGAGCAGGTCTTTGATGGTGAAGCAGTAAGAGTTTAGCTGATTGAAGAACAAAACTCAGATTATTAAGAACTCATCACACCCCCAGAACCAGTCTTCTGTGCAGATTATACAGTCACTCAGCATCTTGCAGTCAAGGCCTGGCTAGTATTTAAAATTGTCAGCTTCCTGTCATCGCTTCGCTACTGAGCTTTGTTTCTTTTATTTCTCACAGGTCTCTGGTCCTAATTAAAAAAATTTAAAGATACGTATTTTTGAGAAGGGTCTCACTGTGTATCGCAGGTTGATCTTGAAGTTGTGGTCGTCCTGCCTCAGCCTCTTAAGGATTGGGATTACGGTCATGTACCACCACACCTGGGACTGATCTGAATCCTTACAGGCCATTAGAAATACCAGACTCAGTATTTCCCTAAAATATTCCTTATCATTCTTTTATTTGCATCTCTGATAAATGATTAATGTCACCTTTTATCTGTGGATCCTGGAATGGTGTGTTGTTATGAATGAATCCAAGAGTCTTTGTGGGGCATGATTTGCTGTGGGGTCATGTGTGGCAGCCTGGAATAATAGGAGAGAGAGACTAAATAAAGAATGTTTTCACATTTAAAAAATCTCTTTCAGGTTCTACATCACTCTTTCTTCCCTCATGCTTTTGACCCAAAGGGTCACGTCCCTTTCACTGGACATTTGCGAGGGGAAAGTGGAGGTGGCATCAGGAAGCATCAGTAGCAGGAGTTCTTTGTCTGAGCATCTGCATAAGGCTCTGCCCTATTTTAGCTACTTGCTCTTTTTCCCTGCTCTCCTGGGAGGCCCCCTTTGTTCCTTCCAGAGATTTCAGGCATGTGTTCAAGGGTCCAGCCCTTTGGGTCGCAGGCAGTCTTTCTGGGCTTTGGCATGGAGGGTCCTTCAGATTCTTGGGCTGGAATGCTTCAAGGTGGCCCTGAGCAGGGTGGTGAGTGCAGGAGCAGGACTGGAAGGTTGCCGGCAACTTGAGTGCGTCTATGTCATGTGGTCCACTGCTGGACTCTTCAAGCTCACCTATTACTCCCACTGGATTCTGGACGACTCTCTCCTCCACGCAGCAGGCTTTGGGTCTGAGTTTGGTCAGAGCGCTGGTGAGGAAGGACACATCCCCGATGGGGACATTTGGACATTGGAGACAACTCACAGGATTTCCCTGTTCACAAGAAAGTGGAACCACAGCACAGCTCAATGGCTCAGGAGGCTCATCTTCCAGCCCAGCAGGGGCTGCCCATTGCTGCAGACCTTTGCCTTCTCTGCCTGGTGGCACGGGCTCCATCCGGGACAGGTCTTTGGTTTCCTTTGCTGGGCTGTGATGGTGGAAGCCGACTACGTGATTCACACTTTTGCCGGTGTATTTATCAGGTCTTGGCCAATGAGGCTGCTCTATAAAGCCCTCACCTGGGCCCACACTCAGCTCATCATTGCCTACATAGTGCTGGCCGTGGAGGGCAGGAGCCTCTCTTCTCTCTGGCTGCTGTGCGGTTCTTACAACAGTGTTTTCCCCATGGTGTATTGTGTTCTGCTTGTTCTGTTGGTGAAGACAAAGCACAAATGTAACTGACAGCTTTCCCTGTCATCTTGTCCACTCATGCACCTGTGAGTTTAGAAATTGCACCGATGATGTGTATGTTTGACTTCTCCATAATAAAAGTTTTTAGGTATTGGATACCTGCTGTTTGTCATAGAAATATGTGTGTCTCCTAGCAAGCTGTATGTTGCTGAGGATATAAAACAGAAAAAACACATGGCTTCTTCCCTTAAGGATTTACTTTTCTAGATGTGGAAGCCAAGTTTAAGGTAAAGCAATGTAAAAAAAACCCAAGGGAGCCAGGGGAGGGGCTCAGTGCTAGAGCAAGGCCCTGGGTTCAGTCTTCAGCATGACAATTAAAACAAAGCAGAAACACAGGTACTGTGCAGTACATGGAAAATGTTAAATTCATGAATATACAAATATTCAGTGTCTAGTTGGCCTACTTGATCCTCTAGCAATACTGTATTAGCTTTTCATCACTATAACAAAATAGCTGAGACAGGCTAACTTATGAAGAAAAGTATTATACAAGCATCTAAGCTTACTATATGTACTCAAATCGTTTTCATCCTGTTCAAAATGTAAAAGTACAAATAAGATTTTAATTTTTAAAGCCTGACAATAATAGTAATGAATAATGCTGATAGACCTGATAATACTGTTAGCATTTTTAGATCACCTGGAAAAGTTATAGGTCAGTGTGATAATTCATATTAAGGCAAACAAGCAAAGCCCAACCTTGGTACACAGAACTTCACCCAACAGACAGTGAGGGTCCTGAGTGACAGAAGTTGCAGGAATCCCTAGTATTCTTAACCAGAGTGGTTCTGTATCTCTTTTGCAATACTCAAAGCTCAGAGGAGACAAAGTGGACAGACTGGGGTTTCCCTGAGTTGAGAATAATCAAGGGAAACAGTCAATGTGGGTGTTGAAGGACTCTCAGAACATCACAAATGTCCTTAGTCTAACCCAGATTCAATGATTTTTTTAAAGATTAGAAAAATGCTCTGAGGATATACTAAAGTTGTAAAAAGATTTGTTAATGACTTTTACAATGCAATCTGGTTTGCAAATTGTCTGTCCATTGATGGCATGGATAATTTCTACTCCTCTGATGGGTTAAACAAGAGTGTCTACTTCCTTCCCTTTCTATTTGCCTCCTGTAGGGGATGTTTCATTTAGTCAGACAGTATAAAGAACAATGTGATTTCAGGAAAAAAGAGCCATAGAGCCAGGAGCTAGCTGTGCACAGAGGGGAACGTGAGATCCAAGATGGCAAAGAGTAGCAAGAAAGTGTCTTCTTCCAGTCCCATTTCTTTGGTTAGGACTCAACTGTCATTTTGCCCCCGTGGAAGCAATTTGTGGCTTTAGTGTCCTTGTCCTTCAGTTGCTGATTCTGTCACTCCCGAGAGCCCACCCACAGCTTCCCAAATTCCCTTTGCCACGTGATTGGCAGCACCTGCTTATTAACCTCTTGTTAATTTGTGCTGACTTTGCTTCCAGAACTGGATTTGTTGTTTCCTGTTTTCCTTCTCGTTTGAGGTCTCTCCTTTTTCTTCCCTCCCCTCCCCAGTGCCATGCTCTTGGACCTCTAAACTGTGAATAAATAAACCTTTTCTTTATTAATTTCCCAGCCAAAGGTATTTTGCTAGAACAACAGAAAATGGACTAAGGATAAATAATAATTATTAGTAATTATCCTGATTAAAATGCCAGCTCTAAGTACATTCAAGTCACTTCTAACAGAGTCTTCATTCCAGGTTTATAACATAACCAGATGGTGGGGGAAATTTGGTTCTCTAGTCTCACAGTTTAACACTGAGAGGTGAAAGGATAGTGATGGCATTCTACATGAACTTTTTCCAAATATCCAACTGCACTGATTTTCAAAGTATTTCAAAAGAAATGCTAATGCCTTTAGCATTTTCTTCTGAATCACAGCTGATTCTGATGTTGGCAAAGCCAGCTGTGGGGTTGGCCAGAGCCCTACTCCTAGAATTAGACAGTCTGGTCCAGTCCCATTCTATCATCAGTCAGCTGTGGGACCCTAGTAATTTCTTCTCGGGGCCAGAGTTTCCTAGTGTGCTAGATCAGAGGTGCATAAAATATCCTTTTATTTAATCTTAATTTTATGATTGTGTAAGTGCTTTGTGATTTTTCAATACACTAAACAGGAAAAAGTGAAGAAACCTGCCTTTGTTCATCTAGCAAGAATTCTACAGGAAGAAATGAAAGAGTGTCTGTTGAGCGCCCAAGGTTCTTATGAAGAACTGGCATTTTGCTGGACGCCAGTGGAATCCTAGCTACTCAGGAGGTCCCCAGTTCAATCCTAGCTACTCAGAGATCAGGAGGATCACAGTTCAAAGCCAGCCCAGGCAAACAGTTCACTAGGAGACCCTATCTCTAAAAAAAACCCATCATGAAAAAAGGGCTGGTTGAGTACTCAAGGTGAAGGCCCTAGTACCACCAAAAAAAAAGGCAAGATTAACAATAACTAATAAAAATGGAACATGTACAACAGTACATGTTCATAAAAGTTATGAAATGTGGCTTTACTCTCTAATGTATTTTCAGATGGTTGTTGACTTTGAGCAACTGACCTGTGGAGAGTGAAACCGTGGATGGGGAGTGGGGACTGCTTGTATGATGTAGGACAGATCTCCAAGATACCTATGCCCTATAGTCCTTTAAATTTCTTGAGTGGTGCTGGAGATTGAAATGGGGACCTTGTGCACTCTAGCAATGACACCCCCAGACCCCAGATTGCTTTTTATTTATTTTGTAGTCCCTGTGTCTAGGGTCAAAAAGTCTATGGAATGAATAAATGTCTATGAAGGACCATGCAGTGTTCTAGATGGGAATCACAGCATCATGGAAGATGTGTAATTGTGGGGATAGTTTTTCCCTACCTTGCTATGCTACCCAAGCACACGGAAGGTTCTGGGTTCACTGTTTCAGGACAAGGTGTCATAGAAAGAAAGTGCTGTGAAAAAAGGTTTATCCACATTAAGATGATACTAAGTGTCTGAGTCAAATGCATTGTGATTGGATGACAAGATGAAGTGCTTTCCCCAGGGCTGGGTCCAGGGGAAGCCTAATTGAATTTGGGAGCAAAAATGTTTTGTAACTTTAACTTCATAAACCTGATTTTGTACCTTGGTACGATACTCAGGGCCAGTGCTGATGGTTCCAATACTTACATAAACAAACATATAAACATGGTAATGCTTGTTCCTTTAGCTCTTTCTGTAGTTGTGAAGCCCTTGTTTTCTCCCTTTCTGCACGCCTGTACTATTTGAGGTTCCCTGCCTGGGTATTCACGTTCAGCTGAAATCCCAGAGACCGACCACCTGCAGCTCTGCTTGTGCAGCCAGACTAGAGGGTGCATTAGGGATGTAAGAGGTGTGGACAATCAGGGCACCTGGTGGTTGGCCTTCTGGACTGGATTCTCATCCACAGAAACCATGGTCTTCCCACTCTATACTGGGTGGGAAGGGGAGGTGGGGAGGCACACGTGCAGATGCGTGAGAGACCTGAGTCCACTGCTCCCACTGCTGTAAGTCGCCTCTCAAAGGACCCTCCTGGCCCTGGACTCCCTGGTGACAGTGATCAAGGCCTGGCTCCCACCTTTTTGTGGCTGAGTCCTCCTGTCGCAGCATTCCAAGCTGCACTTTGCCTTCAGTGTGATCCCTGTGTTTCATTTTCTCAGGGATTTCTTAGCTTTGGCTCCACCAATACTTCCCCTTTTACTTTGGTAATATAGTTCCTTGTTCTTTAAAAGCAAAACCAAACCAAAACCATCATTTCTAAGGTCTGGTGCAGGAGGGGACAGAGAGGATATGTGCAGTTGTTCTATTGGGACCATGTGTTACAGCATCCAGGCAGTGTTTACTATATAATCAACAAACCTTGGTTAACTTGAAGTATATGTCCAATGACCGGAACAAGATGGTTACAGCATTTCTAAGAGATTCTGTGTGGCTCACAGAGCCTGTGTATACATATTCTATAAAGACTGCATTTTTTTTTCAGTGCTGGGTTTAAACCAAGGTCCTTGTGCTTTTTAGTTAAATACTCTACCACTATGCTACAACCCCAGTACAGAACAGTCCTGCCTGAGGGGGTTCACACCAGTGGGATGGGGAGAGTGAATACAGTGCAAATACTGTGTACACATGTATGCAAATGGAAAAATGATACCTGTCGAAACTGTTCAAGGAATGGGGGGGCAGAGAGAGGGATAAGGAGAATGATAGAGGGGGTGACTTCAAGTATGATATATTTGATACACTGTAAGAACGTTTGTAAATGCCACAATGTACCCCCACCCAGCACAACAACAAAAATGTATTTTAAAAGAGACATTATTTTTATGAGAAGAAACTGCTAAGCAGGACAGGGAATTGGCAAGAAATAGTGAACACCTATTTTTTTTTTCCAGTGCTGGGCCTCCAACTCAGGTCCTGTGCATGCTAGGGAAGGACTCTACTACTGAGCCATACTCCCAGTCCATATTAACTAATATTTAACTGCCACAGTCTCTGTGAGTCCTTTACATGTTACACTTAAAACTCCCAACCATCTTGTAAAGTAGGGAGTAAAATTATTCTCATTTTACAGATGTGCAAACAAGACAGACAGATTTAATATCTTGGCTAAGGTCACCGTGTTAGTATTTCATTGCTTTAACAAATTACTTGGAGATTATCGATTTAAAAGGAGGAAAGATATGTTTTTGCTCAGTTTCAGAGTCCACGGTCACTCAGCACTGTTGCGCTAGCAGCACAGAACATCAAGGTGGGAATGGATGGTGGGAGGTACTGTTCACCTCATGGCAGCCAGGGGACAGAAACGGAGAGAAAGGGGCTGGGGTCCCAATATCCCCTTTAAGGACATGCCCCCGCTGGCCTAACGCCCTCCCACTAGGTCCTACTTTTTTTTTGCAGTACTGGGGTCTGAACTCAGGGCTACACCTTGAGCTATTCCACTAGCCCTTTTCTGTGAAGGGTGTTTTTGAGAAAGGGTCTCTTGAACTATTATGCCCAGGTTGGCTTTGAACTTTGATCCTCCTGATCTCTGCCTCCTGAGTAGCTAGAATTACAGGCATGAGCCACTACTGCCTGGCAACTAGGCTCTATCTCTTAAAAGGTTTCACCTCCTTCAAATAGCACCATGGGTTGGGGACCAAGCCTTTACCACATAGGCCTTTGGGGGAAATTTCATATCCAAACTATAGTAGTCACGTGGCCAGTATAAGAGGTAGACATCCAAGTGGTCTCACTTCAGCGCCTACACTGTGAACCCTCCACTACAGTGAGAGAGTCTATGCCAACCTTCAAGGGAACTCATAAAATAGTGTTAAGGTTAGAGTGCAAGTCTCAATGGTATTTTGTTTGGTAAATATCTGCAACAAGGCAAATAGTGCATCTGTACATTACAAATGGGTGTATGAACCTACAGTTTGGACAGTGGTCCAAAGCCTTATTTTTTCCAACTCTCCCTAACAATTTCACACCTGCAACCCTGCAATGGACAATCAAACATAGTTATCTGTGATTCTTTTCTTTTGCCCACGCAACTCATCAGATCTGCTTGGCTATTTGTTAAAAATAGAGGGTGAGTCTTACATTCCGGCATCTGGGATCCAGAGGCTGGAGTGTCAGAATCACCACTGCTGCTCCACCTGCCTCCTGAGGCCCAGGAAGCTGAAGAACCAACAGCAGGGTGCCACTCCAAGGGACACACATCTCCATGGCTCTGTGTCTCAACAGGAGGCTGGCCAAAGTAAAACAGGAAACTTCCCTGCTCTCACTTTTGCTTCCTAGCTCTTTTCTTTCTGTGACACTCCACACTTCTTCCTTGGCTTGGCTACGAACTGGCTTCCTTTGATAATTTTGGGGGTTCTCATCTCATCTCAGTAGCTGGCTAGATCAAAGAGAGAATACATGCTCCATTTTTTTTTTTCTGTACTACCTGGAATGCTGTGTGGCATATATAACTGCCACTGGCAACTTGCAAGTTTTCAAGGTGGAAAGATCGACCCAAACATGGAGTTTCAGCCAAATGAGCTCAGTGACATAAGCCAAGGTGAAACAGAAATGTGAATATCAAATCCTTTCTACCTACTTGGACATTTCTCAGTGTCTAGAAGGGTGTTTAGAACTTGAGCTCCAACATCAACTCTTCTCTTGACTTTCAGTTTAACCTTACAGATTTTAACAGTACTGGGATTTGAACTGAAGGCTTCACACTTGCTTAGCAAGCACTTTATCACTTAAGCCATGCCCCCAGTCCTTTAGGAGGCCTTCTAATATATTTTGAAACCACTGCTTTAAGCACTGGACTTGAAAATAATTACTAGTCCATTCATATTATAAATGACAAATATCAGTTCTAGTGTGAAGTATGATTCAAAATTATCTTTTTTAACCCCTAGAAAACTAATGCCCTTGTCTTCTTCAGTATTAAACTCGTAACTAGGTTTTAGAGCTGGTTCTTAAGTTTTAGTAGTTGATTTAGACTGTGAAAAAAAAATAATAAATCCACCTTAGTTTAATCCTAAGAAGCTATTTCAAACTGTGAACACTTTTAGAAACAATCCTCAAATCTTTAAGGAAACAGCTTTCATGAAAACATCTATTTTTGGGACACACACAAATCTAAACTATGTTTACTTATTATGCCAAAAATGGATCTGCCAAAAGAGATATTTCTAATACTAAATGTCAGATACACTATAGATCAAGATAATTTAATTATTAAATAGCAATGCTCTTAACATTTTTTTTTTCCTTATGCTTACTGCTTTTAGTTTTATTTTTTTGGCAGTACTGCGGTTTGAACTCAGTCTCAAATGTGCTAAGCAGGCACTTTACCACTTGAGCCATTCTGCCAGCCCTTTAACAGGTTTTTAAATATTTTATTCTACATAATGGTTTCTATGATTGTAAACTGTAGCAAAGCTTCTCGTATTAGCCACTGAACTGACTCCTGACTTAAAAAAACTTGATCCCTCCCATTACTATTGCCTTTAAATACAAACAAGAAAACAATTACAATTGAAAAAGTAATGTTTTATAGTCATGATCTCTTACTCAGGAAAGAGTTTTTGGATACTCCTCCTTCCCCAAACTTCCAAGTGGAATTTCTAAGTTTAATAATATCTGAATTGTTGTGACTAGTGTATGGTTCTAAACTCAAGAATTGGTTCAAATTATCTTCAAGAAACTGAAACCAAAACATAGTACAAAGTGTCCTGTAAAAATAAACTTTATCCCTGGACATTTTATAATTAAAAACAAGTGATATTTAAAAGGCAGAAATGAGATAAAGGCCTTTCAGTATCTTAAGCTCAGAGCACCTCCTACATTCAAGTGTAGGCAACTTAATTCTAAGGCTTCTGCTGTGTCCAGCACAGTAACATGGCCTTTTCTCTCCCAACCCTGAATTATCTGCTAGACAGTAAGAACGAGGTTTTAAGGAAGCCTTTGTAGCAGGAAGATTACTCATCACAAATCATTTTCATTTGTGTGAGAGGTGGGAGACACCCTTAAGTAAGTCTACTCATGGTGGTTGCATTGTGTACAAAAATGTTAGGAAACTGATTTAGTGAGCTTGATTACAATATTTCTCCTGACAGCTTTTCACTCTTTCTAATATACTGTAAAATTGAAAATTAGAGGGCTGGAGGTGTGGCTTGGGCAGTAGAGGGCAGGCAGGAAGTCCTGAGTTCAAACTCCAGTACTGCAAAAAAAAAAAAAAAAAAAAAATGCAAGTTATGGGTTGCTAAGAACAATTGTTAAAAAAAAAAAGCCAACAAAAAACAAATTCTCAAAATATACAAGTCTGTGGCCACTTAAAAATAGGGGGAAGATAATTTTATTATTATAAAAACCACAAGGGTATGATCCATTTAATATTTTTGTCAAATGGTTAAACTAAAGCCAGTTAGTACTTAATGAATTAATCTTCAGTTATGTGGAATGTTTACAAGATATGTTTTCTTCCCCAGAATCCCATCAAATAGAAGACTGTATTAAAATAGAGTTCCTTATCTTCACTGAAAGGACAATGCAAGCTTATACTGAAGATACAGGAAATGAATTTCCCACCAGTTGTAGGTATCTCAAAGCTCCTAGGGCATAAGACATACATACTACTCAACAGTAATGGGAACTTGCTAAGCTTGATGGGCTGATTTAGTTACCTGAAATTTATGAATCTTGTCACATTCAATACAGATATTCTGGAGTTTACTTTAGAAATCTGAACTATTTTGGCAACACTTCCAAAATCTTATTAGGGCAACCACTAAGAACGTACAATTTTTTTTATTTTTTAATTTTCTTTTTGGCAGTATGGGGGCTTGAACTCAGGGCCTCATGGTTACCAGGCAGGTGCTGTACCACTTGAGTCACTCTACTGGCCCTAAACCTATGATTTAAATTTTGAATGTATAAACTGCTGGGGAGAGAAGCCAGGGCCTTCTATCCTAGCTCCATGCTAGGAAAGTGCTCTCCTATTAAACCGTATCTCTAGCTCCAAATTTAAAAAATACAGATTATAATTTGGGCAGTTTGGGATAAAACTAATGTTTGATAAGAGGACAGTACTTTTCCTGTTTACACTGTGCCACACAATTTTCCTTACCTTTGCAATATTCTTAAGAAGCAAAACACAAATGTAATAATTATGTAACAAAAATGCAGTCTAGAGGTTCTGAAAATTTAATGACCTTGGCTTAGGTCATTAGCAGTTTTCTTATGACAACAAAACGTTCTATGATTGTTTCTGTAGCTTAAGTGAAAATCCTACTTCCTCAGCTTACTAGTTCTTTTCACCATGGCTCAGGATCATAGGGCTTTCTTGTGATATTTGTGACTCTGCTTTCACTTTTACTTCCTCTTGTTGAACATGATAACTAATGTCACAGTTGCTTTATATTACATTGTTAAAGTGGTTAATGCACTTTAGGAGTTGAAGTGGGAAGTATATTTTCATTCCAAAAACACTCACAAACTAAAATGGGTATTTAAAGTCTTTATTGTTTCATCATCAAAAGTTTTTCTTTCTTTCTAGAGAAGAATGGCAATGTTGTCAGTGCATATTCTATGGAAAATTCATATGTCAAGTAACTAGCCTAGAAACTAGAGATAGCACTGCCAAGCTAGTGTGCAAGGTCAAAGTCACACTGCTGCCAATACATTAGTATACAGAAAGAATATGCAGCTATTAGAAAGTCTATGGCCAAGTAAGTAAAACTGTAGCAATGTACTGCACTGACATTTAAGAGGAACAGAAAATGAAGGACCAGAAAATGCACTTCCTGGAAAAAAAAAAAATCCAGTAGATCACAGGTACAGAATTCCAACTGTATCTCCAACTAACTAAATTTATGTGTACTTGTACCTTCCCAGCAAGCCATTTCAGCCTAAAGTATAAATGACTACATGTGGATATTTCATACTGCTTCCCATTTCACAGCCCAAAATAACAAAATCTGGAACAGGCAAAAAAAAAACAAAAAAAACAAAAAAAAAACCCACAACAAAAAACTGTAGCTTTAGGCATCATTAATAAAAAGCTGAACAAATCTCAAATTTGCTATTTTTTTTAAGAAATAAACTTTATAAAACAAAAAAAGAATGTCATGATTTTAGTTTTGAACGAAAGCAAGGTAATTTTTATGCAAGTATGCTGAATAAACATACAAATATCCTTAACAAAATATTGTCAGATCAACTCAGACATTTTCACAATCAGTTCCTGAAAAAGGTACTAATAATCATGATATGTAAATGACCACTGCAATTTGATCATGTCTGGTCACTGGAACTGTTTTGGTCAGGTCTGTACACTAAGCTGCTATGCAGCTGGATTTGGCTGCTATGCATTAATTCATAGATAAATACCTTTTATAAGGAAATAGCAAATCTATCATGATGAAATCAAACCCAAACAATTCAGAGGTATGCAGAAAACTTGCCTTAAATATTTTAAAATTACATATAACCTTAGAATAAGAATTACTCTTAACAGATCTAAATCTTAAGTTGTTAAAGCATGAATTATCTGCCAGACTAACAGGTCACTTGTTAATTACTGTCAATGTCTTGTTGGGGAGGGGCACTCTTAATGGATGGCATAGCAATTATTTTCCAGGTGAGTCAAACATCTCTAAGTATTATTAAACTATATTCGATAAGTTCTTTTACTTAATATATACAATGTATAAAATAAGTTAAAAGGGGAGCAGAGGAAGATTTTTCTGGTGTATATGACGCAAACGTACAACTCATCGATGAGTTTCCTCATTGGTACTTCCATGTACGTCCATTTTCCCCAAGGTAACATGAAAGGCCAGTAGAAGATCAAATTTTTCACTTATAAATAGAAACAGCATCCAAACAATGGAATTTCAACGTTATTTCTGCCATGCTGCAACTCACTCTACACTGTAATACACATAAATAAAAACTGTTTCTCAAAAAACTGTTTTTACATCCTTACCTTAAAGTTCAACATAAACTCTAACAATTGGGAAGAAAAGCACTCTTTTGTAGCAATCCCATAAATTAATTTTCAAGTCAAAAGACACCTGTTGACTAGTAAAACCAGCAACCCTTCTGGAGGGTATGGACATTAATGCTTGGCCCCTCTGAGGTATAAATGCAGCTATATTTGCACTGAGTAGATAATCTATAATACGCCATTAGTCTGCAAGTCTGCATAAAACTGGGAGTGACGTCATCCTGACTGATTGAAAACTTATCTTTATAATAATGGAAGTTAACTAATTTTAGGAGAAAATACGTATTTTAGCCCAGTAATACAGCTAGCAGAATTCTGAATTCCTAAACCAATGCAAATGGTTATTACATTTTAAAATGTTTAATACTGAATATTAAGAAAAAATTGAACAGAAAAAAACACATAAATATTTTAGATTCAGCAGGACACCACAAAAAGCATACTATAGATAAGTGTGAAATCAGTCAAGCTTTTCCAAAAGAGAAAATCCTTTTAATCCTTCAGCATGTCTCTGTGAAAATAGTATGCGTACAACAAAAGTGAGAAGGGAGCACCTAGAATACCCCCCAGAGGCTTGCTGCACCACTTGGCATTACTGCCCCATCTCCTGTGTGCATGGACGGCCAGCGGACAAGAAGTCCATGTGTCAATAGTTCAGTAACCTCCTTTCTTTTCACCATTGCTGCCAGCTGAAGTCATCATTGCTTCCGAAGACCAAGAAAAAGCCTAGTATAGTTGCAAAGATGACTGAGTTTCCTGTGAGAACAAGTGCACAAGCTCCCCACTTAATCTATGGAAATAAGATAAAAACAGTCAGCAGACATGAAAACCAAAAGGGAAATGGAAAGCAAATGGCCATTCTGGCTGTGCACGCCCATCGTGATCTAAAGCAAATGTGGCTCATGAGAATGGTACTGAACTCTTACTGGGCCTCTTACACTGCTGTTTTACTTACCTTTGGTTGCTTTAAAAAGACCGAACATTATGGGAGATGCAGTTATTCAAAAACAAACTTAACTTCTGGGCTATTATGACACAGCACAGCATTCTACACTTACTGTTTATAAAGAAATCTGCTCTCTTTCTTAGCGAATCTAAAAGTCTACCTAGAGAAGAGATACGACATAAAGTACCAGAGATGAAAACAGGCTGTGTACACTCTTAAAAGGGAGGGACTGCCTCCTTCACACTGAAGGGTGGCCAGTCTTTGCCTTCCTCTCTATCTGCAGAGACAGGCGTGAATCTGGGTTACTAAGTCTGCGAGGAAGAACTGACTATACATAGCCTCACTCATTTTCTTCTTTCATACTTCTTTCTCATGTGGAGAACACATCTCCCAGCTCCATGCTCTAAGTTTTACAAGGCAGCTAGGTATTGGCAAGGCAACTGTTACTGACATCTAAGCAATGCTCTCCAACAATATTGTCATCTCTATCTTCTAAATCCTGATGGCTCTCATCACTTTTTCATCCCAGTAACAAAACTTTTCTTAAGAAAAAATTTAGTACAGTTGAATATAAAATCATTCACAGAAAAATACATTCACTTACCAGCTGTGCTCTGGCAAATACAATAGGGAGTCCAAAAGCCGAGACAACAATGCCTGTTGTGAGAAATATGGCAAGTTCCTTACAAGCATTACTCATAGCATCTGTATCATCCACTAATCTTCTTGCTATGCAGTATGGAATAGGTGAAAGGATGTAAAAAAACAGAACAAAGAGGGGCCGGTATTGGCTAGAAAAAGAAAAATAAGTTAATGCACTTTTTGGTATACATGTCATTTTCCTACAAATAAAATTTTTTTAATGGACCAAATGAATACTACAAAATACCAAACATCGCAGTTGAGAAACAAGCTAGATATAAGCTTAATGAAATGAGAAACAGTTACATTATCCCTACAATCATGACACAATACTAAAGTTTTCTAATATTAAAAGAAAATGCTTTATAAACTGTAACAGTTAGCAACAAGGTCCCAAATTCAATTTTTTAAAAATTCTAGCACATAAAGAAGATATGGAAAATGGGAATATTAATACAATAACTTCGAAAGTTCAAGATTCATGCTTTTTAAAAACTGATCTTCACATGTTTAAAAAAAAAAAAGATTCATGCCTTTGACACCCTTTTATGACAAAGCTAAAACATCCCCAAGCTCCCCATAAGTCACTAGGAACTCATAAAATACTGAAATCAAAATACAGAAAACTGCAAGAAATATTGCAAAATAGATGGCTTTTATTCTATTGATTAGTTAGCTGTATTGCAGCAATGTCATTTCCTGGTTTTGGTAACTTCAACTATGTAAGAATGTCACGACTGGGGGAAGCTATGTGAAGGGCATAGGGAACCTCTTTGTACTATTTTTGCAACTTCTTGCCAGTCTATTTCAAACTGAAAAGTTAAAAAAAGAAATAGATATTCTTTAAAAATGACGTAGAATAAATTTTCATAGTGGAGATTTGTTTGTACTTGGGGAGCTTATGATAAGTAAATATCTATGTCCTAAAGTCTTTTCCTGAACTTTTAAGAGAATAAAAAGTTAAAAGTGGAATATATGCTTAAGAAAAAAATAAAACAATTCAACAGTACTGAAAGTGCAAACTAAAGGCTCCCCAAGTCTCCACTGCTTTCTTTCCCACCCTCCTACAGCTTCTTGGGCACCCTTCCCATAATCCTATGTAGAAAAAAAATCTTTAATAAAAAGGGGAATGGGTAAAGAAAGGTAAAGAAACAAAAGAAAAATTTTTAAAAAAGGGTACACAGGTCATTGTGCTTTTTTTTCCATTTAACAAAGTATTATGACCATGGTTACACAATAGCATTTATAGTTCTTCCTCATTCCTTAGAGCTTCCCAGTATTTTTATTGAGAGCTATGCCACAATTTAGCCATTTCTTGTCATGGATATTTAATGAGGTCATCAGGTTTCTTTTTATGTTATCCCTAAATAAGGCTTCCATGAACATTTATACTTTCCCTGAACTTTATATACCTTTGTGAACATCTGCAAGTGGATGTGTACAAGCAAGTCTAAGAATTGGAAGGCTAGTTCAAAGAACTAGAAGATACAAAAGCAAACTGCTCTCCAAGAAAACTGTACCTATATGTACTACCTACCCACCTGCCCCAACATAACACGTACCAGCTCTGTTCAGCCCACATCTTTTATCTCTGCCACTGGACTTCATTTAATATTGAGTGAAATTGATATATTTTCATGTATTTCTAAGCAATGTGTAGCTCTCTTTTTATGTTTGTTGTTCATTTTTTCTATTGAGTTGTCTTTTTCATACTAATATATCTTATCTTAATTTGAAAACGTTCTTTCTAAGCCTGTATCATACACCTGTAATCTCCCTAGCTGAGGTGGGAGAATCTAAAATTTAAGGCCACCCTGAGCAAGACTGTCTCCAAAAACAAAAAAATCCTTTCCTTCCTAAGGAAAATAATTGTCTACATCACAATTTTAAGTTAATTCTGCTTATGGCATTTTTTGTAAAAAACGATGCTTTGAGTTTTCTATTATTACCAATTGGTGTTTAAAACCAAGCAGTGGGTTTGAGCTACTGTGTTGCTATCTTCCATTCAGACTTGACAGCAGTCAAAGAACAAGGAGTAGCCAAAAATCTTTTTGCACCTTAGTGTTGCAATATCTTACAAATAATGTTTTAGTAATGACTGTAAAAAACGTTTGTGTATTTTTAAAGCTTTAAAAGTGGAAAAAAATTATCCTTTAGCACTCAAACAGACAAAACTTTCACGTACTTGTATATTGGAAGGGCACATCCAAGCATCAAAAACATGAGCCCAATTGCTCCTCCAAAGGACAAACTAATCAGAGCTGCAAAACAAAAAGTTCAACAGATACATCAATTAGTTAAACTAGGTTAATGTTATTTTGTTAATATCATCTATAATCCCAGAATTAAAACAAGCCCCCTAAACCTAAATGTATTAAAAGTGAGTTAGATGTCCTCAAAAGTGTCAGCTATGTGGGCTCAGAATATGTCTTCTATAACCTCTTCAGGGCAAAATAAAGTGATTCAAGTTTAGCATCACCCCTAGTCTGAAAATCAAACCCGAAATGCTCCAGAATTTGAAACATTGAGAACACAGACACTGACAAGATGCCAGTGAATACTCCACACCATGAAAGTTTGTTTTATGTACAAAATTGTTAAAAACATGTAAAACTACCTTCATGTAGTTTTACACATGTAGGAGATGTGTATGAGAATAAATCTTTGTGTTTAAACTTGGTTTCTATCCCTAAAACATCTCACTATGTATAGCAAATATTCCAAAACACACACACACACACACACACACACACACACAAAATCACCCAAATCTGAAACATTTCTTTCTGGTCCCAAGCATTTCCTATAAGGGACACTCAACCCACACTGATCTTCAGAGCTCTGACCTATTACTAGCCCAATCCATTTCAAAATTGCTGGTTGCATTTCTAATGACTATCTAATGTGAACAGTGGTTCACTGGCTCAATACCCCACCAGGCACTACTATTATATTTATTCCACAGATCACCAGTTTTAAAAACGCAGTATGTGCAGAAACCCGTCATCTTAAGTTCACTGAACTTTAGAAACCTTATCCTATGGGAAAACCTTTCCAATCAGCTCCAGCTTCTTCACACACCCCCTCAATACCCATAAAGCTGGCAGAGCCAGCTGCAGTGGTGTGCACCTGTAGTCCCAGCTACTCTGGAGCCTGAGTCAAGAAAAACACTTGAGCCCAACAGATTGAGACCCACCCTGGGTCAGCAAAACCCCATTTCAAAACAACCTCCCCTCCTGACAGGCACCAGTAGCTCACAATTGTAATCTTAGCTACTTGGGAAGCTGAGATTGGGAGTATCACAGTTTGAGGCCAGGTGGGGCAAACAGAGAGCTCCCATGTGTAAAATAACCAGAACAAAATGGACTGGAGGCGTGGCTCAAGTGAGAAGCTCTGAGTTCAAACCTCAGTCCTACCAGAAAGAAAAACCAAACCAAACCAACCAACCAACCAAAAAACTTGAGAAAAAAAATACAATGATATATGTATCAATTACTGTTGTTTATCTTTAACTAGTTCACAAAGCTATAGTGGAGTCTCCTCCCTGAATTTCCTAGATTAGAAAATTTGTAGGATAATGGGTACAATTCTTCTACAGTATCACTATCTTACAAGATAGGTACATTCTACAGGTGACAGTTTTTAAACACACACGCGCGCGCGCGCACACACACACACACCCCTCTGCCAGCATATTTTAAGGCATATTCACGTGTCAGTGAGTAGAAACTACTTTCTGAGTAGGTATAGTTAATCAATGACCTAGATTAAGCAATTTATTGTGAGTACTACATAATCTGTATTTCTCAGCTACTTTGGCTAGGAGAGTAACTACTTTTTTAATGGTATGATTGATTAACCTTAACACAAAGTGAAAATTTAAAAAATATGTAGGAGGTCTACATATTACTAAGACAAAATCGGACACATTCAAACCAAAATTAACAGTGAAGGGGTTAAATGCTGCCAATTACAACTAATACACATTTCAGAATGAAAATGGTCATCCTCAAGACACTCACTGACATGGTAGTTTGGCACATGGGGTTTTTTGGCTGGATTACTGACAGAGGTCATGTCAACTCTGAACACACATTTACATAGTTCGTAATGACAGTATATTTTCAGCAATAGAAAAATAAAAAGATGAGAAAATACTCATTTTATTTTATAGCAGATGAAGCACTTCCAAGGGAATGCAACATCAACTTTCCCATTTCCTTTCCTTAATTCAAAACAGGTCTAGCCTACCTTCCTGATTCATGTCATGTGGTCGATACCCCTTCATCTCCATACTTCGGTGACTCTAGCCCTCTTTCCTTTCCTGGAAACCAATGGGCTCCCTCACCCACAGGGCCTCTGCATGGGTTTGTCCCTTCTACCTCACACAGCTTCTCTCATTCATTCAGGGAAGACTGAAGCCAAATCCGCAACAGGTGCTGGGGATATGGCAGCAATGGCACTGGCCTCTTTGTTCAAGAGCTTGTGTTCTTGCCCGGCGCCTGACTTTCTTTAAGGGAAACAGTGAAACTTTCCCAAACCTCCTGACTACACTAATCCCCCATTACATTTATTTATTTTATTCATTCATGCAGCAAACATCTACTGAACATTAACTGGATGCTACACAATGCTCTTGCTACTGAAAACAGAGGATTAAAAAAAAATCAAAGGTTTTTCTGTCAGGGTGATTACATTATAGAGAGAATAAAATATTTTTTTTTAAAGATGGGAAAAAGAAAATCAGACAGCGTGAGGGATGGGAATGCCTGGAAAGACATCTCTGCTGAGGTGATGCGTGAGTGGATGTATGAAATGAGGAAGTAAACCCTGTCGCTCTCTGGAGCAGCAGTCCGCCATGGCCCTCATTACATATACAGTTCTGGCTCAGTTATCACAGCTGCAATTTCATGTTGATTTGTATCTGCCTTCTATTCCTAACTGTTGTTTATGAGAGCAGTGAGCAGTTCTTCTGTTGTTGCCCACACCCAAGTCCCAGCTCTTAACACTCAGTAACAAGTATTTGTAGAATGAATGCAGTGCCAAACTGAGAATCAGGAGGCACAAGGTCTTAGTCCCCAAGCCACTAACCAGTTGTTCTGTCTTCTATAAAACGACAGGGACTATATGGAAAGGCAAATAATTCTCTGAATGCTAAAGACATTCTGAGCTGGGAGCCAGTGACTCACACGTGTAATCCTAGCTATTCAGGAGGATCCTGGTTCGAAGCCAGCCCAGGCAAACAGTTCTTGAAACCCTATCTCAAAAAAACCCTTCACAAAAAAAAAAGGACTGGTGAAGTGGCTTAAGTACCACAAAAGAAAAAAAAATAAAATAAAATACAGACATTCTGAAAAAGTAAAAAAACAAAAAACAAAAACCTCTTCTTTTTGAAATATGGTTGCCAAATAGCTGAGTTCACTACTACAAATACTATACAGTAACAATTCATTTCTTCAGAAGTAATTTATCTAGAATATAACCTGGACTCCAGGAGGAAGCAAAGATCACTACAAAGTGACAAAATGGATGACACAAAACCCATACACTAAAGCTAACTTTCTTTTTATACAGACCTTCATGCCGGGGTTTGAACTCAGGGCCTTATGCTTGCTAGGCAAGTGCTCTTCGCTCTTACCGTTTGAGCCATACCCATATCCTTTTTGTTCTTTTTCAGATAGGGTCTTCCACTTTTGTCCTTGCGGGTGGCCTTGGAGTCAATCTTCCTACCTCTGTCTTCCCCAGAGGTGGGATTACAGATGTTCACCACCACACTGGGCCCAGATCCTTAAGCTCTTATTCAGAGGTTATTGACTCATTTTTGTGACATTGGTGGATGTGAGTTTGAATACAGTAAAACAATTTTAAGAATCATTTAGAGCCAGGTTGCTAGTGCATGCATATGATCATTTATGTATTTCTTTCAATAGATAATTCATGGATACAGAATTATTGTTACTGTTTTGTTAACTTTGATTATCTTGTTTCCCACACTGAAAAAATGAGTGAGCACCAGGAGAAAGTTGCACAAAAGCAAGAACTGCCTCTGAGAGGAGAAAGAACAAATTTTAAATCAGGCAGAAAAATTTCAAAAAAGCATGTTAGCAGTAATTTTGACAAGAGGCAAATAGCCTTAGGACTCTGATGGTCTCCGAGGGTAGTTCTGCTCTCTGACAAAGAATAATCGTTTATACACTTAATCAAAAACACAGTCTAAATCCTTTGAGAATACTCTTAAAAGCTGAGCATGATAGTTCACACTTGTAATCCCAGCACTCAGGAGGCTGAGGCAGGAGGATGGCAAATTCAAGGCCAGTTCGGGTTACACAGCCAGACCCTGTCTTAAAAAACAATGTTAATGAAGGCTGGGATGTAGCTGAGTGGCAGAGCACTTGCCTAGCATGTGTGAGGCCCTGGGTTCAATCCCCAGCACCAAAAATCAATCAATCAATCAAAGAACAAAAGAGAGACAAAGTGCAGGTATCAAAAGACATTTTTTAAAAACATAAATTAAGTCAGGCTCACACCTGTAATCCTACCTATTTGGGAGGCAGAGATCAGGAGGATTGTGGCTTGAAGCCAGCTCAAGCACACAGTTCTCAAGATCCTATCTCAAAAATACCCAACACAGAAAAGGGCTAGTGGAGTGGCTCAAGTGGTAGAACATCTGCCTAGCAAGTGTGAGGCCCTGAGTCCAAACCTCAGTGCCATAACAAACAAACAAACAAAAAACCACACACAAATTAAGATTGTTTTATTATAAATGCTGGGAATATTAATAAGAGAAGAAAATTATTAATGCATTTATTTATACCTTAGGATCCAATTCCTTTCAAATGCTACCATATAATGAAAAAGTAAGAGCCTTGGAATTGTTTGGGAGATCAAGATACCCAGGAAAAATACTTCTATTCGTTCAATACTATTGAGTGTAAATGATGTTCAAAGACAATTTATTGTGCTATCTCATCTCCTAGTCATACTAAATAAAAGTCTATGAGATTAAATACATTGCTCAAAAGTGTTCTCAAAATTTACAAAGTTTCCTCAGTCTTATGAAATCAGCAAGTAGGCTGATTTGTCTTAAATGACACATCAATAAGGTAAAAATTTATACAGTAAATGAGTGATACAATATTTGGAAGACAAAACTTACATGAGTCTGGTTTCTACTCCCAAAGCCTCCAGGATAGGGATGGAACAACTCAATTATCTAGCAAAGTTCTCTAGAGACAAGGTACTGGGTCTGTGATTACAAAGAGATTGGAGCAGAAGGGCCAGTTTCCCTGGCCTGGGAGGTACCAGAAAATACAGTGTATCACGAAGTAACATGTAAATGGCTCCAGCAATATGTAATGGTCTCTAATTACAACAACAACTTTTTAATATAAAGCTGATAGGTCAACAGGAGAACATACTGATAAACAGTCATAACCCCACTGAAACCAAAAATGAAAGTACAGTTCTATCTGAGACACATTCACCTGATAAATATTTATTCAGATTTGGAGAAAGAAATTGCAAAGCTATTTTCTTGAGCGATTCCCTTCTTTAATGACACTGAAAAAATGAGGAAGAGCAGGGAAACTAGCCACGTCCTACGAACTGCAGCATTTCACAGTAATTTCCTTTCACATGAGAACTTAAAAGCTGTGTACTACAGATCCAAAAGGGATTTAAAAATATCCTAGTGGCTCAAACGTCAAGGTTTTATATGGGAAATGAAATGTTTTCAGACAATGAAAATAAAGCACAGGGGGAAAAGTGTGACTGAGAAAGAGGCTCAACTAAAATCCTTAAAACACACAGAAAACCAATTACTACCCAAATTGTTCACTTCCACAAAGCAGCAGGTGAAGACACCAATGATAATTCGTTTTACGCAGTAAACAAAACTTTGCTCCTAATCACACTGAACACTTGGAACGAATGCACATTCCCTCTTTCTAAAGAAAATATACGACAAACAAGGCATCTTTTTTTAAATTAAAACTTTTACATCTACAAAAGGCTCCATGTGCAACAGCGGAGAAAGGAAGCAGCAGCCCTCGAGGTCACCTGAGGGGTGCGTGGGGATGGAGCCCGGCGTCCGGGAAGACGCGGGTCGGCAGGTTCGGGGAGAACCGATCCCGGAAGACCGCACTCGTGCCTTTAAGGGGGTAAATGCTCCGATTTTCCAAGGCTGGCGTCCCTGGAGATCCCGCCCCCTCAAAACCACACTGCCCGCCCGCACCCCTCTCTTCCTCTCGGATGCAAACTCCTCAAAATGTGCCTGACGGCCCAGATCGCCACCGACTCCCCAGACCGCGCCAGACACTGGGATTCCGCGCTGGGGGTGACGGGTGGGAGCCGCGCTGCAGACAGCAGAAAGTGGGGGGCTGCGGCGGGAACGCGCTCCGCCACCCCTCCCCAGAGCGCCGCGCCCACCTCCGCTCCGCCGCCGGGGCCGCCAGGGCGAGGGCGGGGGTCGCGGTCGCCCCGCCCGGCGCAGGGTCCCCGCGCGCGGCCGGCCCGGAACGGAGGCGGCCAAGTGCGGGCCGCGTGGGACCCCAGCCCACCCTTCCCGGGCGGCCACCAGCCCTCCGGCGTCCCGCGCCCCAGGCCCACCTTTGATGCCCGCCATGGCGGTGACGTCGCTCCTGGCTCCACGACCCAGGCAGGCGCCGGCGGCCGGGAGACCGAGGACGCGCGACCACGGCCAGACAACACCCGGAAGTGCGCGTCGCAGCACTTCCGCCGGCGGCTCGCGCTCGCGCGGGGGCGCGGGGAGCGCGCGAGCTCGGGCCGAGGGCGGACCCCTTCTTCTCTCCGCTCCTCCGGGGGTCGGCCGAGGCTTCCCGACCCCGCCCCTACCGAGGCTTGGGGACGCGCTGGCGTCACCGAGTGCTCCCGAGGGGGGCGGGCGGAAGCTCTCTGCCCGAGGCTGCAGCCCTCGTCCGCGAGAAGGGAGCGCGAGTGGCCGCCATCCTTTGAAGAAGGATGTCTTTTGGGGGTCGTGTTAATGTGCTTTAAAGCGCACCCGTTTCTCCCCCCACCCCGCAGCCTTGTTATAAGGGGGAAGGAGGGCTCCTGGGTGGCGGCGCTCGGCTCCTCGGTTTCCTACGCAGAGCCAGGGTTATGGTGAGGACCGACCTTCAGAGATGGGAGCAGCAAGGGGAGACTTAATACAAATGCAGTCCCGTGAGCGTCTGCGAGCGTCACTCTCTTATGGGTAGTGATAGGGCTAAGAAAAAAATGGAGAAGCTGTGGCCCAATGCACTTATTTAGCCATCGTACAAATACTATTGGACGATGTGTTGAGAAACGGGTAGGCCAGTGAGTAAAACCAGATGCAGTTTGTGCCCTCAAGTAGCTTGCAGACTAGAGGAAGACAAAAAGTGTGAAAACGTAACAATGTTAGTTGCTAGTAATGCGGTTCCAAATATGCCACTCCAAAATATGCCACCTTGGTGTAAAGATTATTTTGAGCTGAAGGCAAAGAAGCTGCAGATACAGGATGAAATCTCTCTTCTCCCTTTTTCAGTACAAAAGCAGAGCGTGTTTCCCTTTATAATTCTACATGTTTAAGAAGAAAATTTGCATTTCCCTGATATTGAAGGGAAGGCTTGTCACCGTAAGCAGGATCAGTTGGAGTGTGCAGAAACAACTAAACTCTTATTTTCCATTAGCTTGCCCCAACTATTTATCTTAGCACGATTTATTGTCTCTAGAAGTCCAAGCCCCTTTCTTTTGTCTAGTCACTTTCCCACAACATATCACCCTTTGTTAAAATGATATATGCTCTTGAAACAGGAGTTCTTGGCCAGAGGCCCAACTCCAAGGGTTCTACAATGGCAGCTCCAGCCACTCCCACCAATATGCCAAATAGACAAATAGTGGTTAAGAGCAGAGAAAAATTATTCACTCGGCATGAGCATGCTACAGGAGGAGGCAGAGGGTACAGGCATGAGTTTTAGGTTTAAATAAAGAATTGAGGCAGGGGGTGAGAGGACTGACTAATTATTAAACGGTCCTGGTCACAGGTGTGGTCATCATCTCAGGATTGGTCAGGCTCTGTCTTGTTACAATAAGAAAGTCATTGTTGCCTGTCAGGGGTTAGCTTCCACTCCTGTTACAAGGTATTTATCCATCAGTCTTGTTCCTTCTGAATTACAAGGTGACTGCAGGAGAGAATGGCGCAAAGGACAGAGATACAGAATGGGGATAGAGATGCTAAGCTTTTGCCCAGCTTTAAGTTCCCCTCTGGACGTGTGTGTGTGTGTGTGTGTGTGTGTGTGTGTGCGCACTGAGTGTGGCAACAAATGCAAGGAGTTTGGTGTGTTGGACAGAAGACAGGGCAATTAGATTGCTCAGGGTTTGCGTGGGGTCCTGCCTAGAGAGTTCTGGTTTTTAGCTTTGAGCTATGAGAATCTTTTGAAATGTTTTTAAAGGAGGCATGTGGAGGTGGCATGAGATTGGAATTTTCTAAATCTTTTCAGTCACTATACTTAGATAAACTAACATAAAAGACAGTTGAATGAATGTTTAGAACTCTCATTTCCAACATGCATCAAAAAGATACTGGGGAGCTTAAGGCATTGTCTACCCTGCTTCCCTCCACCATTTCCAGGATTGAATTACACTTTTTTTTTTTAAAGACCAGATAACCTTTCTTTCTTGGGGGGAAGGGGGAGGTTTGAACTCTAGGCCTCACAGGAGCTAGGCAGGTGCTCTGTCACTTGAGCCATTTCACCAGCTCAGATCATTAGTGCCTCAAATAAATCTATAGGTGACTTGTGGGAGAGATTATTTTTTCTATTTAAGTTAGGTCAAAAAGTTCTAGCATCTCTGTCCTATATTATGGAAAAAATGTTTCTGCTTAAGAATTGTGTGAGCAAAAACACAAAGCACGCTTGAATGAGTGCCTGGAAATGTGTGCTGATTGGGCAGAATCTGAACTGCCAGCTCCCTCCCTAAAGTATAGCACCCTTCTCCACTGCCATCTTGAACAGAGGGGCCTAATGGGTCATTGGGTCAGGAGGGTTCTACCCTCAATAATGGATTAATGCCCATTATAAGCAGGCTTAAGGCTACAATTTTGGCTTCTCCTGCTCTTTGTCATGTGTTCACCATGTTGTATTGCAGCAAGAAGGCCCTCACCAGATCTGGGCCCTTGATTGTGGACTTCCCATTCTTCAGAACTGGAACAAAGAAGTCACTGTTCTTTATGAATTACCCAGTCTGTGGTATTGTTACGACAAGACAAAACTAAGAGAGCAGTATTTCTGGAAAGCAAATGATTCCATCCCACATGTCACACCATCTGTTCTGATTTGCTCCATGGTATTCCATCTTTGAAAGCAGGCATGGTTGAGAGAACGTGACTAATCACAGTTTCTCACCACTGACACTGATTGGTGGTGAAAAGTGATAGTTTCACAACTCAAGGTTCATAGCTTGGCCTTGTTTTGTTGTTTTTATTTTTTCGGTTGTACTGGGGTTAGTGTGCTTGCTAGGAAAGCCCTCTGCCACTTGAGCTATGTACCCATTCCCATGATCTTTTATTTACACTCCCCACTGACTTCCCCTCATCTCATATTATTTTTTCCTCTTATTGAAGCAAATTCCAAACATAATTTCATCTTTAAGGGAGGGAGTCCTTTAAAGTCACTAGAACTATTGATTTGTAGTTGGTCAGAAGCTTAGGTCATAATTGGGACTTGGCAACATGTGTCAGAAGTGGGGAACAGTCTTGTGGGAGTTGATATTGTCCCAATAGATGGTGTCAGAATTGAAGTGACTTAAGAGAACATCCTTTGCTGTGTAGAAAAATACCTCCATGACACAGCTGGTGACAGAAATCCTGTATTGAGAGTAGAAAGGAAAAAAAAAACTAAAAATACTTTGTTAGTATTAGCCTTTTGCAGCTTCCTATCATTTAGATCTCAGCTCCACTCTGGGCTTCTCAGAGGATCTTTCCTGGCTATCATATTTATTATAGCACTACCCAGCATATCTGTTTTCTTTTTTCCATTTTTTAATTTTTGTACAATCTGATGTTTTCTTCTTCAAATCATTATTTAAGCTGGTAATTTTTTGTTGACTCTTTCTCCCAGTCTCTACTGTATTGCCCTGTTGTTTTTTCATCAATACACTTATCACTAATTCTTTTGTTGTTTAATTTGTATGCTGGTACTTCAATGTCAGCTTCTTCAATATGGGGACTTTGTATCCTCAATGCCTGAAACAATGTCTGTGTATATCAGGCGTTCAATACATTTCTTTTTGTATGTGTGGCGTTTTGTGGCTCAGAGTCTCACACTTGCTAGGCAGGTGCTCTACTCTTGAGCCACTGCATCTGTCCTGTTTTGTGTTGGGTATTTTCAAGGTAAGAGTCTCCGGAACTAGGGCTGGCTTGGAACTGTGGTCGTGCTGATATCTGCCTCGCCTGAAGCTAGGATTAGGTTGAATGAATGCAATAAACCCAGGGCTGAATCTTTGCTGCGTTTAGCAAATTACTAGAACACCAATCATGTGCCAGGTGTTTACTAGGTGCTGAACACAAAGTTGAATAGAGGACTGAAGCTTCCTTCGGAAATGGTATTGAGGTTTTGGAAATACATACATGAATGGACTACACTTCTTGGATTTCTCGTCGCAGTGATTTATAGCCCTAAAACCACAGCACCTTCGCGCAGAACTTTCCCAGCCATTAGAGCCCGGACAAAACAGCGCTGCAGCCAGATCCTGACCCCAGCCGCAGGTGTGGCAGGAACTGAGTCTCGGCTCCGCCCACACAGCCAGTCCCGCCCCAGGCCCCGCCCCTATCCGCGCGGAGCCCCAGGGGCGGGGCCGGAAGCAGCCACTCACAGCGCCCTACGTGCCTCAGCGATAGTGACGTAGGACTGGCGCACGGACTTTCGTTGCTGCCGAGGCTCTGCAGTCAGAATATCCCTTCGCCACCTGATTCCGTCGCTGCTGCGCAGCCGCGCGCGAAGTTCCGCAGCCCGACGCGGGCCCGAGACCGCCCGGCAGCCGCTCGCCATCTTCACCCGGCGCCATGGCCGCGGCTGGCGGGCTGGAAGCCGTGTGGCGGTGCCCGCTCCTCGATCTGCTTTTGCTTCTGCTGGTTGCGGGCCCTACCCTGTGCTGGAACGACCCTGGTGAGTGCTGTCGTGTTTTCCGGCCCCTCGCTAGCCCTTTCCAGCCGCCCTACGCCGGCGCCCGGAGACTCCGCGGCGACCGTTTTCCTCTGCGCCTCATTTGTTCCCTGCCAGGCTCCTTTGCTCTTCCGAGTGGAGACGGTTGGGAGTGGGCGGGGTGGTTCAGTTGTCCCTTTTTGTCACCTCCTTCTCCTGGGCTACAGCCCCGGTCCCTGAGTGAGCCTGGCTGGCTCCACACTCACCTGCGCCTTGTTTTGTTGACATGGCTGGCTGATGCCACCGTCGCCTGCTGTTGTCATGGCCGCCTGTTGCTATGGTTTGTAGTTGTCATGCCACCTGCAGTCTCTGGGTCACAATTAGTGGAACGGGCCGCGAGCCTGGGAGGTTGGTGGCTGGAATCATAGGCCTCACCGCCTTTGTGATCGGCACTCGGCCAAGTCCACTGCGTTACGCCAGCTTTCCCCATTGTTTTTCACGTACACAGGGATTTACAAAATATTTCCTCTTAATTTTTTAATTTTATTGTTTTTACATTTACTCACATGTGTGTACGTTGTTTGGGTCACCTGCCTTCCTCAGGTATTCCTAGAAAGTTGTATAAAAATGAGAGACGATCAGAATTATAACTTAAACCTCAGTCAGTTCGTTAAAAAAACGAAGTTTACACATTAAGTGTTAGGGGAACTATCGAAACAACCACATTTAAATGAATGGCAAACCACTTCCTGGTGTCTCAGTCCACCTACGCCATAAAACTATTGTTCTGGAACAAAAAGTAAGTATTTTGCATAGTAAACTCAGTTGGTTTCTACTTTAGGGTTACTTTGAAGAACTGTTTATGAAGGTATCCTATTTGGATGTCACTAAGTCTTGATAAGACTATTTTTTATTTTTTGATGGTACTGAGGCTTGAACTCAAGGCCTTAATGCTTGCTAGGCAGGTGCTCTACCACTTGAGCCACTTCTCTAGCTCCTTTTTGTGATGGATTGTTTTTGAAATAGGGTCACAAACTAATTGCCCTGGCTGGCTGAACGTTGATTCTCTTGATCTCTGCCTCCTGAGTAGCTAGGATTACAGGTGAACCACTGGCTCCCAGCTCTAGTTTTTTGTTTACTTATTTTTTTTTTAAGCTAATACAGTACAGTAGTATGTCTGGCAAAAAATCGCATCTTTCTAAGGAGATTACCTAAGAATTTTCAGATTCTTTTCATCAAGTGTAGTCATATATTTAGTTAACATTCTCAGTGTTGAGAATGTAACTGTAAACAAGAGTCTAAAACTCAAGGAGTTTACATCTATTGAGGCAAAGTAGACAGTAGACAAGTAAATAGCATACCTTATGGGGAAAAGTGGTATGGACAATGAACTTGTGCAAACAGGAGTGGGAACTTTAAAAGATAAACATTGTTCAGAGAAGAAGTCACAGTTAAGATGACATTTGATCAGAAACCTGAAGGGAAAGGAGGAGTCAGTGACTTAAGTTTTTACAGGCTTATATGAACTGCTATTTGAAAAATATTTGAGGGGTTGGATTCTTTTGTCATCTGTTTTGAGGTGGAGCTGATGTGATACTCTGATTGATTCAGTGTAGGGGTGAGGGGAGAGAAGACAAGGATGACTCCAAGGTGTCCGGCTTGAGCAACTAGAAGTGCGGAATTACCATTTCCTGACATTCGGGAGGATTGGATTTAGGGGCATTTGGTTTCCTTTATTTTTGGTTTGAGACCTGCAAGGGATTTCTGTTTGTGAGTTGAGTTCAGGGAACTCTGTGTGTCCCTTGACTGATGTAACTAGTAAGGGGAAAAGGGATGGGTATGAGATGAGCTGAACTTTTGTTCTTAGATCCTAAGGCTCTCTAGAGAAGATTCTGTGGGGTTGTGGTAATGATACCCGTGTGTAAATAGTTCTTAATGTATTTTCTACTTGATCACCTGCTAGCCATCAGGTATTCTGCCAGGTAATTTTAGCTAATTATATCTAAGTTTCACAACAACTTTTGAGACCGGTGTTATCATCTTAATTTTACTGGAGAGGAGACATTCAGTGCCTTGGCCAGTCACATAGTAAGTTGGTGATGCCAGTTTGTTTTTTTTTTTTTTTGTTTGTTTTTGGCAGCATTGGCATTTGAACTCAGGGCCTCATGCTTGCAAGGTAGGTGCTCTACCGCTTGAGCCACTCCATCAGCCTGGTGATGTTAATCAGTGTTCTTTGCATTATTCCAACACTGTTACTAAATTCAAGTTATTACTACTCCTATTATTTAGTTTATTAATATAGTCTGACTTTGTAAACCATGGAACATTTTCATTGTTTTAGTTTTTTATGTATTATGAAGAGGTAGTTTGGGTTTAATACAACCCATTTTATTTTAATTCTTGGAACTTTTAGAACTTTAGCTCATGTGGAATTAAGTGTTTATTCTCATACTGTAGGAGGAGTTTCTTCTAGTTGCCTGTTCAGCTACGTTAGTGCCACTTGTTAAAGCAGGCATTTTCCCACTCAATTTAAAAGCCCACTTTGTATTATATTGAATTTTAATATATATCTGGGTTTATTTCTAGACTTTCTTTTCTCTCACACTTCCCTGATCTGTTTCTGTTCTAATTTCATACTATTTTGATGGTGGTAATTTTATAGTAATTCATTAAAAAAAAAAAACACGTATTTGTTGACATTAACCTTTCCAAAAGACCTCTAACATAATTTCTTTACAGTTGGCTTTCTGGTTGCAAGTACATCACATTTATTTAGGCTTATACATCTGTATATGTATATATATGTATGTATTTTATATGAATTTTTAATTGATTCAAGTTTATTTCTTTGTATTTTGTGTATCTTATTGAATAGGCTTTCTATTTTTCTTTCTAACTGGACATTACAAGCATAGAAAAAGCTGTTGACTTTGATAATTGACAACATATCCAGCTGTTTTGTCTCTTATTTATTTCAATAGGATTGTGTTTTGGGATATTCTCTTGGATTCATAGGCCCAGAAACTCTATAAACAAAATGTTATCTTGAGCTGGTAGAGTGGCTCAAGTGGTAGAGTGCCTATGTAGCAAGTGTGAGGCCCTGAGTTCAAGTTCCAGTACTGTCAAAAAAAAATTACCTTTTCTATTTTGTACCAGATGTGACAGACACCATTACATGATTACTCAAAGCTATTCTGGCCCTTGTTTACTTCTATTGTTTATTTCCATGTAAATACTAGAAGCAATATGTGTGTTTTAGTAGAATCTCTTTTGGAGTGGGTGGTCTGGGGGTTGAATTCAGGGCCTCCCTTTGCTTGGCAGGTGCTCTTCCATTTGAGCCACTCTGCCAACTCAGTAGAATCTCTTTTATTTTGGTGGTATGGGGGTTTGAACTCAGGGCTTCCATGCTTGCTGGACAGATGTTCTATCACTTGAGCCATGCCTTTAGACCCCAGTGGGATCTCTTGAAGCTAGTCATTCTCGTCACTGTACTGGAGGACTTCTGGGAAAGATATTTTAAGCATTGATGGTAAGCCATCAGTCTTACCTTTTTTCCTTTCAACTTTTAAATATTTTAATGTAAAATATTTGAATTCTTCAGTATTTACCTTTTTTTTTTAAGGGACCTTTTTCTCGTGAAAATAACATTGCATCTGACAAAATTAATCTTGATTTCTTAATATCAACTAACTATGCATTTCATGTTCAGATAACACAGTTGTTACTAAGATGTCATTATGGCTAGTTTCTTCAACCAGAACCCAGTCCAGTACCATGCATTGCATCTGGTTATATTGATCCTTAAGTCTTTAAAATCATGGGCAGTTCTGTTTTCCATACTACTAATTTGCAGAAGAGATTGAGCCAGTTGCCCTACTTTCTCATGGCATCATTTTAGCTTGTCACCCCCCACCCCCTTAAATTTTTAGTGAACTGTATGTTAACTCCAAAGTTTGACTAGATTCAGAGTAAATGTTTTTGCGGGTACATGATAGGAGATGTATTAGCAGTTTGTTCCATTGTTAATGTGCCAAGATTGACCACTGTATTAAAGTGGCCTTATCTTTTCCTTGTAAAGTTATAGTTTTCTCATTTCTGATTAGAAGGCAAGCTGCATAATACTTGGCATCATACCAATATCTAATCACCTAACGGCTTTACCACTAATTATTCCTTGTCCGAGTCAGTCTATTTTAAGGTTATAAATTGAAAATGATGAGTTTTCTAACTATCACTTCCTTTTTTCTTTTTAATTTTTTTTTTTTAAAGTAGCAGTACAGTTTATTAGAAGAGGAACAGTGGGGAGAAAAGAGAGAGAAGCATTTCTTGTTACCCATGCAGGAAATGGGAGCAAAGACTCCTAACTATCATTTCTTATACATTTATTAACTAGCATTCTTTCATAAGGTTCAGGTTTTCCTTATTAGCTGAAACTATTTCTTATTATATTATTATGGAAAGTCAGGATAAATGTTTGTTTTTTAATTATCAGTTTTCAAAACAAAGAAGTAATTAGTAGCCACTTCAAGTAGATATGACTAGTGAATTTTTGTCATTCACTCAGAGTATCATTATAAATACTTAGATTTTTGTAGATTTCAGCATAGTTTGACCATCTAGTCATTTATTTTTTAAATAGTGTGACTTATAAATGAAAAGTGTTTCAGAAGTTGAGAAGTTTATTCAACTGAATAAACAAAAGCGGAATGCTCAGCTTTTATTTTCTTCAGGTTTGATGTCTTGTGCTTTAATTTATATAAAGATAAGTCAAATTTTGTCTGAAAACATTTGCTTGTTAAAACTATATTAATACTGTAATAAACTATATAAAAAAACTAACGAGAAAAATGCGCATTTATAGAACTGCTTGACAGGCCAGATTCCTGTACAGGAAATTGCCAAGCTTGCCCTCATTCATCTGTGAGGCAGAGAACGGTTTGTGTTTAGACATACACATTCTTCTGCTTATCAGTAGATGGTTAGCCTACTGTCATCATATCTGGAATCAGATGAGCTTCCTTAGC